CCGCCATGTTTTAAGCTCTGTCAGCTAGTTATCATTCATTTTTATAAAGGTTGCAGCTTTAAGCTCTTTGTTATGATTCACATAAAAAAGGATGACACATCAATGCATTATTTTTCTTCAATGGTGAAATCAATTTTCTCATATTACCCTCTCTCTTTTCAAAGCTGAAGATTAAATTTGTGGGCCTTGTTTTTAATTTGTGTTGACTGGTATCAGTGGCGTAGGCAGGGGGGTTACGGGGGGTCATAACTCCCCCCATAGACCCCTCGGTATATATATATATATATATAAAGTATGAGGGGGGGTGCAAATCGAAAGTTTGACTGGGGGTGCAAATCGAAAGTTTGAGGGGGGGTGCAAATCGAAAGTTTGGAAACCCCCCACCCCCCCCCCCCCCCTTGAGACGATCCTGGCTACGCCACTGACTGGTATTTTCCTCTTTCCTGTGTTTATCTCCAAGAGGTTGGAATGTCCCGTCTAAATCCAAGTCAAACATGTGGCCTTTCAACTTCCGCTCCTAAAGCTGAAAACCCCACTACAAAGTCTAGCGTTTTCGTGTCTTAAATGTGTTGATTTACACTTCTGCATCTATTTCATTGGTCTTGTTTAATGGTACTAGCTATCTCAATGGCGTAGCGAGGGGGGGGGGGGGGCGGGGGGGAGACATATGTCCCCGGGCGCCGACCTTAGGGGGGGGGGGGCGCCAAAATGGGTTGGAACAAAAATCGAAAGTTTGAGGGGGAGGGGGTCAAATCAAAAGTTCGAGGGGGGGTGCAAATCGAAAGTTTGTCCCCGGGCGCCGGGAAGGGTCGCTACGCCCTGAGCTATCTAACGTTTATTTTATTTATTTATTTTTTTACAAACTACGCTGGAACTTTGCTTTGAATTCTAGAACAGACGGATTGACGGTTATTTGTTGTCCATACTATAAAAAAAGTGTTTTAATCTAGAAAAGAATTTTGTTTTTCATTTCATGCTTTCAACATGTGAGCTTATCTCGTAATAATAAAAATAAAATTGTAATTTACCACCTGAAATTTAAAAAAATTGCATCGTGTTTTAAAGATGTTATTCAAGAGGACACTTTCAAATTTCAAAGAAAGATCAAATGTAAATAAAATAAAAATGTACGGATTTTATTTTTGGTGGAACATTTTCCTCAAGTAAAAATATAGAACTTCCTAACTGAAAAATCCTGTAACTAGGGTTTCTTTCAGACATTTATTTCTTAGGAGGGGGGGGCGGCATTTGAAAGCTTCGGGTCGTTGGGGTGGGGGCGGTAGACGTGTTTCGGGGGATCGGTGTCCCCTCCTCAAGATATGCATGAAAGAAACACTGCCCGGGGGTGTGGGTAAAGGGCTCTGGAAATTTCCGAGTAGGAGAGCGACACTAGAAACATTTGACTGAAGGGTCGGACAACGGTTGAATTATAAATTTACTACATCAATTTAATTTTTTTTTTAAATTCCGGGCAGAGAGGTGGTCGGATGACAAATTCCGAGCCCCCCCCCCCCCCCCCCAGACACACACACACTGCAGAGACTCCTTAAACTTAAACCGACATAGATTCTCCCCAAACAGCATCTCTCTCTTTGATTTACCTCAAGTACTTATCAGAGCTGGGTGGACCAACCATCGTGCTATAGAGTTATCCCTCAGTGCTAACACTACTAAGATTTTCATCTTCTAAACCCAAGTCCAAGTTTATAACCAAAAAAAAATATATATATCCGGATATAGTTAAACCTAAAAAAAACTTAAAAGCGAAAAAAAAAATCTAACCTATAATCAATGTGCTAAAGAAGAAAAAAACGAATTTGTTTTAAACAAAAAAAAACATTTGCCCCTTTAACAAAAAAAAAATACCCACAGGTTTCAGTGGCTGGAGAGTTGGAATCGCCCAGGTAAAACTCACCTGAGACCAGCCATCTTCCAAACGTCTGGCATCCATGCGTCTAACTGAATCTATTTTTAGCCCGCTGACTCACGCGCCGGCTCCAAATTTTTGACTACCTGGACGATTACCCGCTCACGTTAAAAAACATCAGATCGCATCTGTTAACGTCGGCACGTGCATTGTGAGCAGCTATTTTTAGACCAAGCCCTGACTACTTGTCAGCTCTGTAAAATCAAAAAATGCAAAAACTGTGTTTTTACTGGTTTTGAGTTTTACTTTTTACTTTTTTTCTATATCGTGCAAGCCATTCGAAAAACTGTATTTTTACTGTAGAAAAAAAAATTCTTTAAATAGTGCTGTTACTATAAGCTTCGGCGTCCATTAACACATGGTTATATTTAGTTTTTGAGTTTTACTTTTCCTCTATATTTCGCAAGCCATTCGATCCTCAGAAGAAGCTAAAACTGTGTTTTGCTGTAGAAAAAAAAATACTTAAAATAGTGCTGTTACTATAAGCTACGGCGTCCATTAACACAAGGTTATATTTAGATTTTGAGTTTTACTTTTTCCTTCATATTGCGCAAGCCAGTCGATCCTATTCAAACATCTAACATGGGTAATATGTAAGTCTAAATAATGGGATGGTCAAATTAGGGATATCATGATCCCTGTATCATCAGCAAAAAAAAAGCATTGAATTATAGACAAGATGGTCTTAAAAATACCTTTAATTATTTAGCATCATAGTTTCCCGTTCGTGCCCAAGACACTTTGGGCCGATGAAGTAGAGTTAATCTGTTTCAGAGATTTCGCTATATGAACGGATTGTGTGGACAGCACATTTGCCCTAACGTGAGTTAGGTACACATCAGAGCTGGGTGGACTCCGTAACATTCTACTGAACCCGGGTTTGAACTCGAGACTTTCGGGTTAGCAGTCTAGCTCTCTACCGCTACGCCACGCCGACCCAAGACTATAACCCCTGCAGTTGCTAATACTGTTAGAGTTGAGTTACGAATGATCTTATGATTCAAGCTTACCGCTGCCCAATAACTACTCTGGAATGATTAGGGTGATCGCATATAGAAAGATTAGGCCTATATTGATATATTAAGGATGTACAGCATAGCGTTTAATCCCCGGGTGTGGATATAAAAGTTATAGCAAGTGATAAAAGTAAATGAAGGAAAACGTGGGAAAACCGTGGCATCCAGAAAATGTTTACCTGTCGTCATTAACCCAGCTATAAAGGAACACACAGTGTGCTCTACACGCTCAGCAGTTGTGTTGGCTGTAGTAGGTAGACACACGAAAACAATTGTTACAAAGGTGTATCTTGACAATCAATGTGCATATGTTGTTTGCATTTTAAATTTTATTCTTCTTCTTCGCTCTTAATTTTAACACAATAAATTATACGTGTGAACTGGTTATGCGCCATTGAGGCCATTGACTCCGATTTCAGCTTTTGCCCAAGAACAATCCACAAGACTAACGAGCCTCATCTGCCCGCGGGTTCGAACTCGAGACTTTTCGGTTTAGCAACCATGCGCTTACCTTGTAGTTCACCTGTTACCTTAAAATTCGAAGGGATCGTGTTTTCAGCACTGTCTATACCCAGCCGCCTTACCTTAAAATTCGAAGGGATCGTGTTTTCAGCACTGTCCATACCCAGCCGCCTTAACTTTCCCTATCGCGAGTCAGATACCACTCAGCGCTGGTTGACTCATGTCTCCTACTCAATCAAGCCAGGCATATGAAATCGAGACTTTCCGCAGCCGAAGACTCTACCAACCGACCACGTCGTCCCATCACAAATCTAATCTTCAACATTAAATTTTGCACATTTTCTTTAAATCAATTTCATACATATCCTACGCCTATTTTATTTGTTAACTTGACGTTGCTTTTAATCATAATATTTCAAACAAAACTTGTTTTAATTAAATAATCACAAAAGCCAAACTTTTTTCTACACGTATTTTTCCCCGAGTGCCACATAAAGCAGAATTTATCGTCTTCGTGCCTGGCTTTAACAAAAGTTCCAGCCCGAACGGTTCGGGGGTTTAAGTAGGGCAGGCAGGCACCAGATCACAGGTAGCTTATCTAATTCTTGTAACGATGCTGAAAGCGGGTAGGTGAGTACTCCACTCTGTGTATTACACTCACGAGATGCTCCAAGCGCCTGACTGTTAGATTAAACTGAGGATGTGTTGTGGTGTGTTGTGATGTGATGTGATTCACTGTGATGTGATTAGTTTTGATGTGTTATTTCTTACATGAAATCAATTGGGAAAATATTTTATTAAAGACAGCCTTAATATATTGTATTACCGTGACAGGTTTGTATAATAGTAAACTACTGCATTAACTTCTCAATATAATTGATACATGTGTGGCTGTTGAATCGTTCGTATGCAAACATTGTTTTCAATAATTAAATCTCACATAGCAGGAGGGTCAAGTTGTTACCCTTTGTCTTTCAAAGATAAAGGAAATTCTTAGTTATATATTTAGAATTTAAGTTCTAAATAGTTTACAATCACGTCTTATATATAGAATATACTATGTAAATAATTAGACTTGGATTTTATTGTACCCCACTTAGCCAAGTTGCAGGCACCCATGTGTTCTTCCTAGCCCCAGTTGATCGATTCAGTGTAGTCTCATGTAGATATTCTTACGTCTTTACCACCGTCTGCCTACATTATTTACTTATATACCATATGTGTGCATGCCTTATAGGTTGTGAAAATCCATTATACAAATCTATTACTTTTAAACTAAGTCGATAGGAATTTACCTGCAATGAACCATTACCTGAACTGTGCTGGGTATTTTTCTATATTATATATCTTAATTTTTTTCAATAAACAACCCTGCAATCAAACAAAACTGTAAATATTTTCATGATTTGGAATTAGTAGGAAAGATATGATGAACTACAAGTGCTTCTTTGAAGTATGGCATGTAAATGAGTTTTAGTTTTATGTTTTCATTTCAATATTTCGTGTAAAATTAGTCTTTTAAATGTGTAGTATGTTTATTTTTGTCTCTGGTTGATAGACACGTTTCTCACATTATCTTTTGCCTTCTGTTTTAGACTGCTGACGAAAAGCTGCGCAACATTGGGAAAAACAACAACCAATCTGCGACAGTCGTTCAGACGCAGAACTTCACCTTCTACAAAAGCCCGCCCAAGCGGGACATTGAACCACAGCAGACGCCACAGCATCGGCAGCTCCAGCAGCAACCAGCAGCACAGCCAGAGAAGAAGGAGCCGAGCGTCGCTGACTCTGGCTCCGGTCAGCCCAACGCGATGGCCGAGCGCGCCATTGCTCGACAGGGTCACCGTGACCGTAACGGTCTCCGCGCAGCCGTCGAGCTAGAGCGCGCTGAAATCAAAAGACGGTCGAGGAGTGAAGGCCCGAATAGAAGAGTTCGCCAGTCTATGGATGAAAGGGAAGGCGGGAAAAAGCAGACGTACGACGGCGGCGGTAGATTCCCGCGCGAGCTCGACTCCCCCGAATCAGACGACAGCGCTGACGTCATTCGAGCAACCGGAAGACCTGATTCCGACTCGGACAGCGATCCGAAAAAATGGACCAAAAATCCGTTGATCGTTCGGAGAGTCAAGAGATCGGATAAGAAAGACGTTGATAAACGTTTCAGCGGGAATGAAAACGGGGCGTCGCCAAAGCTACGCGAGAGTTTCTACCACGGAGCAGAGCAGGACGCGAGCAGTGGAAACTCTGGATCCAGGGACGGTGGGAGCAGTGGTAAAGGGAGCAGTAAGTACCAGAAGTTGGAGGAGATGCGGAAACGAAGGTTGAACTTGTCCGTCACGTCGGATGAAGAAAGCACTCCAGCCTCGAGGATTTCCAGACTGCGTCAGCGAGCGATCCAAAGCGGGCTTGGCGAGCAGTCGAAATCTAACATCCAAACTAACCAGCAGCCCGTTAAACCGATTGACGTCAACCAATACGATAACGTCCGTGGTCTCCGGCAACTACAACGGCCACAGTCCGAACAAAATCCTCCGAATTATATTTCGTCCGGTGGTCAAAACGTCTCCGGAAATAATTTAGGATCGGGAATTTCCCGTCCTACATACACGGGTCGGTCGCCAACGACGACGGCCGTTCAGTATAACCAGTCTCCTAGCAACCAGAATTTCAACTCTAACTTTCAGACTGCGCAGACGAACTTTCAGCCAACCTCCAGGATACCAGTAGCATCGCCGCAGACAGAGAGAAGCAGAAACTCCTTTCAACCGCCAGCAACTAGCGCCCAGCAGAAGCAGATGTTTAGCCAACCAACTCCGGCACCAAAACAAGCCCCGGCCCGACCACCCCCACCCAACATTTCAGGGACCCGTCAGTCGTTCTACACGATCCCCGAACCCCACCTATCCCAAACATCTCGCGGCCTGTATAACAGTTCCCCGGAAGTAGTTCCCCGTAGATTCACAACCCAGGTTCGTGTACCGTCAGCTGATTCTATCCTAGAACCCACGTCATCGGTTACCTTTGACCAGACACAACGACCGGTCTCCCAATTCAACGAAGTGGTTGAGCTACGACTTAAAACTTCTCGCAATGACAAACCAACACAAAAACTTATCAAAAGCAGCCCGGCTAAAGCCAATTTATTCGGTACAAGTGATGATTCATTAGACGAACTCATCGAATCCAATATTCAATATTTAGACAGTGAAATCGACAAAGCTAAAGCGAAACGTACTTCACAGATTAACGTGTCGCGGTCGTCTAGTTTACCCGACCCTCGTAGACTGACAAACCACGCCTCCTCGGCCCCCGTCTTAAACGAGCAACCATCCATCCAAGTCCAGGCCAGTACTAGCATACAGTTTCACGTCTCATTACCGCAAGAATCTAGACAAAACATAAACGTCACCGGCCCTCCGCTGATAAAAATAGCGCCGTCTAACGCAGTTGAATACCAACCCGCGTATGGATACGAACAGCAGTTAAGGTCACAACCTGATGTAGTCCCGAGAAAATATTCCTACGATAGCCACTCCAGGTTGTCCAGGCCTACAAGCGAGTACTACGACAGGGACGACTTATCCAAATCTGACAGCCAGCTAAACGCTCAGGTCATCCTCCCAGGTTATATAGGCAAAAACCTTCACCCTGACCAAGCGTACGCCAGGGGTTGTGTCAGCGACATGAATCTCAGATCGGAAACAGCGACGTCACTGCAGGTACCTCAGATGGATAAAGGCATGTTCTCAGATGTAGAGTACGACATTGAAGTCTCCGAGAGGGTGAAAAAATGGGAGACGTTCATGAAGGTGCAGGATAATCAAGATAAGAAAAATCTCAACCTGACTCCCATACAAGAGCACGGCGAGAACGATGCACTGATGCTACCAAGCGAGGTCAGGAAATCAGTAATGTTGGGTAAAAACGGCGAGCTGGGCTACAACAGAGATTCATCCTATCTAACACCAGCCAAACCGCGACAGTTCAGCTCTGATACTTCCATCAACAGGAGCGTTGATTCAACCACGCCAAAGCTCTACTCCGTGGAGACAAACGCTCACCGATTCTTTCAGGTCATCCAGGATCCTATGATGGGACCAAAGCTCGGAGTTCAAGCTCAGAGCGTCAGCTCGTTGTTCACCGCACCAATCACCATCAAAACAGACAAGCCTTTCATGAGCGCAAACGAGCTTCGACAACAGCTTCTCTCTAATCGACAAAATCAGCAGCCCATAACAAGTGGACCAGTGCCAACGCCTGGTCAAGCTGTCATTCACTACGCGCCAGGATACAACTCAGCCTCGTCGTATGACGAATCCTCAGCGGTCGTTAAACGATCCCCGAGTTTAGGAACGCCCCGAGACTTGGCGAAACGAGGATCAAAATACCAGGACGAGCTGGAGGAGATATCTTCGGTCAAGACGGACTCTGTGGGCAACCTCAGACGGAGGTTCGATACGGACTCGGCAAACATGACGTCAGAAGATGACCAAAAGTCAGTCTCTACTGCCTCGGCCCGACTTAGCCGACCTTCTAAAACTTCACCGAAAGAGCAGGAATCTGTAGACTGGACAAAAATGATTCCAGGATATCAGCACAGGATTAAAGACACCGATGTCTGGTCGCCTAATCTTGAGAGCACCCAAGGCGTACCAGTCAGCATAGAGCGAGTCACTGCAAGAACTCTTCAGACAATACCGTTTTCAGAAGATCCATTCTGGAAGGAGATTGAAGAAATGACGTCTTTTGATCCCAACAGCATGGCTGGGCACCTGAGCTCAAGCCACGATAGAGTTACAGTCGAGCAAGTCAAAACCCAGTACCAGTTGGAACTGACCTCACCACATAGTTCCACGCTGCCAAACCAACCCAGAACGAACCTCCTGTCAACAAAAGAACGAATGCACAGATCGAAATCTCTTTACACGCCCAACATAACACCATTAACGATTAACGTGGATAAATCGTCTTCTAACGCAGTCAGTGCATTAGATGAAGTTCTTGACGACATCAGCAGATCTTCAATAGAACGAAAACAGATGAGTCCAAAGAAAAGAGCAATGGAATCCGAATCAAACTCCTTGAAGGGACCTAATTATATGAAACCTCTGCATGATCCTTCACAACCAAGTTTTAAATTTGAAGGCGGTCAGTTCAAATTTATTAAACCTACCACAGAACCCCAACCCCAACCCATGAAAGCGTTTGAGATTGGAGGGCTAGCCCAAATGAGAAACGAACCTGTAGTGGCTAAACAACCTCTACAGTTTTACCAACGTCAACGCCAACAGAATCAGACACAGCCGACCGTTCAACAAAATCGCCAGTCACAGGTGATGTCCAACAACGTAAACAACTACCAACTGGACCCGGATCTTCTCAAACAAAAGCTTCTAAGTACGGGCTTAGTCGTCGAGACAGACACCGAAGATACCCAGCCAGTGACGCATTACAGAAGCGGCTCCTTAGGAAGTGCTGTCCCTTACAAACCATACACAAACACTACAGCTTCATATTCATCAGGGTCAAACCAACCCCAGTTCAACCATGCAAATCAACCCACAACAAATTCAGAATATGTTTCTAAACCAACAGTCCCAGCAGTACAGCCAGTGTCAAGCTCCTTCAAGCCTCGACTACAGAACCAATCGGGCACAAGTGCGCTGGATGAAATCCAAAAAGCTCTGGAACCATTCAGAACGACGTCTTATCAACCAGGACCTGAATCGCTGTACGGAACGGCCGAGTTCGAATCTTTCAAAAAGGAACCAAACTACGATACAACAAGAGGGCCGCATACCAAATCTACAGGATGGTCATACCAACTACCGAATCAACCCAATGACAACAGATACACCACCGATGACTCGTCGTCTTCCTCTACACTAAAGCAAGTCCACGAGTCCATGGATGACCTCAAAGACTTGGCGCAAACAGTTGAAAAGAGAATCAATGTCATCAAGACTAAATTACAAAGAGCGGACGAGAAAAGTCTTGACAATATACTCACGTCCTTGAAAAGACTAACACCGGAAGTTAAAAATGAAGATCAAGAACCTTCATCTTTTGAAGACTACTACACGACAAAAAAATCAAAATTATCCGACGCCCTTCAAGAATTAGACAGAATATACAATAGCTTGGAGCTTAATGATAGCATAACAAGTATCCCTGAAAGAGGAAAATACAAGCAGTACCGACCAAGCAAGTCTAGCGATTATATCTTTGCCCCTCAGCCAAAATCAGAACACTTGAAACCAATGCAGACACGAATATCTTCCTTCTACATCCCTGGGCTTGAGAAGAATAAGAAAGAAGTGGACAAGGAAACAGAATCTGAGTTCGATATCATCACCAAGTCTTTTCAAGCTATCGTTGACGAGGTCAATCAGACGACGGACATGTTCTCGAAAGCGGCAGAAAGGAACCACCAGGAGAACACGGCACCGGAATCTCAGAAACAGACGTTCAAAATTATGCTGAAACCCGGAGAGTCTTCCGTAACCAAACCAGCTGTAACAACATCAGCAGGCGAGGTCGTCAAGTCCACCCCAGCCGCTGGTCCTAAAACTCAAGAATTTAAAGTCAAATCTGGAAGGTTCAGGTCCAAGGTTCAGGACGGTGCAGGGGAAGAAGATCCGAGCATAAAAACATCGCGGTCTAAATCTGTGCCAGGGTTGGAGTCTATGACGGTTGAGCTAGTGAATTGTGACGAGTCACCAGTGTACACCACCGAGCCTACAGTTTCAGTAGCGGCGACTATATCAAATGTTACAACCACAAACGCGATTGGAACGCCACCTTTGACCTCAAAGTTGCGTAGCCGGGTCCGTCCCGTAAAAGACAACAAAATAATCCAGGACGACCGTGCGACTAGGCGGGGCAGCAACGAGAAGATCCTGGGCATGCCGCCGTCACCGCAACCGTCCCCGAAGGTCACCAGAAAAATTATATACAACAACGGGGTTGACCTTGACCTCAAACTTCAACCTCCACACATGTTCCAGGACGGGCAAAAAGAAGGAGCCGCGGCACCGTCAAACGTTGAACCACCAAAGTCAACAAAACCAGCAGACGAGAAACCTGCGAGCAAAGACACCACCGTCACTCCAGCAGTTGTAATGTCTCCTGCAAACCAGAGAAAAATCCCTCCACCAACGGCTGCCAAACCTAACACCCGTTCTGAAGCGTCCATACCAACAGCCAGCAAAATCCCAACCATGACGTCCATCTCTAAAAAAGACAGCGACAAGCAGACGTTGAATCTGAAACTCAACACCAACAAGCCGGCCGTCTCAGACAGTAGCAGCAGCAGTAACGTCACAGTAACGTCATCAGCAGCATCCACCGCCAGCATCAACCTCACACCGCCCGTGTTTGACGCCAACCAACCTAAAACTAGTTTAAGCCACTCGGCCACGTTTGACTCGGAGGGTAGTTCCAGCGGTGGACAGCGAACAAAACGCAGGCTTGGCACCGGTGTGGCGATGATGCTGGATAGGTTCAACTCCTCTGAGGACGGCGTGGACAAGCTGAAGAAGCGACTCGGCACTCGCAGCGCGCCTGACCTCAGTGGAACACCCAACGATGATGCTGACGACAACGCAGATGAAACCCCAAAACCGAACCCATCTAAAGATTCAACAGAGAACAAGCCAGTAAATAAATCCCCATCACAAATCAAACCTGGAGTTAGTCAAATTCAAACAAATGTTGAAAAAACGAAACCGAATTCACTTCCAGAGTCCAAGCCCCAGCTAACTAAAGCCAACGTCGTGTCTTCTTTAGAAAGAAAACTCATCGACCCCGAAGCGAAGCCCCAGAGCTCGGGTACATCCTCCCCCCAGCCGCAGTCCCCAAACAAACCCCCACTCTACCCATGGAAACGCCTGCCCTCAGACCCTGATAAGCCAACCACAGACGGAAACCTTGAATCTAGCAGCATCGTTATCAACATCGGCTCCCCGAAAGTCGTCTCCAAAATCACGAAATCCATCAGCTCTGGGAACAACACGAGCGCGTCCCCGACGGAATCCCAGCGAGACTGTGACAGCCCTCGCGCGGGTTGCGGGTCACCTGGTTACGTCATACGCAGAGTTCGCCCCCCTGAACGTAAAATACAAACCGACTCGTCCAAGGACAGACCACACAGTTTTCATGAATTAATCTCCTGCTTTGAAAAAGACCCAAACAGGCTGCAAAGGTTGGACAAATTTCGAAAATGTGCATCAGCAGACGCCATCAATGCAGAAGTGATAGTCGATAAAGTCTTTCGATCCGAACCGGATTTAACAGTGCAAATGAAAGAACAAAGTAACGGAAAAAGTGAAGTTGTATTAAAGTTTGAGATGAAGTTAAAAAGTTGATTACAACTGTATAAGTTTGAGCTATGTATTGTTTGGTTAACTGTTGTTATAATACTCTTTGTGTATTCATTTTTATTCGTTTGAGAATCTCCTTAGTAGAATCATATTTATAAAGTGTTGAAATAGGTTTAGTCTTTATGTTACTAGATCTATACATTATAGTTTTATTTATAGTTCCACATTCAGTGTTGTTAAAATTAGATGCAAGATATTTATACTAAAAAAATATTGTAAATACTAATAGGCCTAATATAACTACTAATGCAAATAGATCTAAAGGGTCTATATAATGCAGCAAAACTAACAACTTGTAGTATCAGTTTGGCTTTATAAAATATCATGGCAAAAATTATTATTAAAATAACTTGATTTTTTTCTAATTTTAATTTTAGGTTTCTCAGTTCATATTTATTTCATTTTAAAAAAATAACATAAAATTGCAACATACAGCTGTATAAACATAGATAACATCATAGCACTTACCAGTAAATTTAATAAAACAAGTTTCATAAAACTTGAACTGCCTTTTTTTAAAAAATATTTTAATATTGCTACTGTAATCCTAGTCATTTTACATTACTTTTTTACAGTTTGTTTTTATAACTTGATTTTATTTATGTTTACTTTAGAATAGTTTTTACAGACTATTTTTTTCGCAGCTAACTTTGCCTATAAACCTTGTCAAACTTTTTGCCTGACTAACTTCTCAACTTCTCTTACTGTGACTTTTAGAGTTTAGAAACCATTCAGTCCTTGCTTATGCAGTTTTCGACATTTCGCATCCATAAAACTTTTATAAAGTTTTTCTTGCACAAACAGGAACTCTATGGTTTTCTGCTTATAACTCATCCTATGCAAATAAATGTATCCTATTGATTGACATGTAATTTTTATTTAAATTTTATGTCAATTTTTAATTTGACTTATTGTAAATAGTAGCTTCTATTTTCACTGACTGTTTATGAAAAAAATTTCTAAATTTTAATTTTCAAATTTTGAAATTTTATAAAGGTCAAATTTTAAAATGTTAATTTAAAAACTGTGCCTTGTATTTAACTTAACACACTTGATATAAAAACAATATTATCACCATTTTGTATAACACAAAGTTACAAATACATTCATCTTAATCTTATTAATAGTTGGAATATTTTCATAAGGGTTTTTTTTTCAAGGTTTAATTTCTAAACTAAATCCATTGTAAAAATGTTATATCGTGAAAGTGAATTGTTTGAAAGTATAGTTAAAAAACATGTGATAAGTATTGGTAAATAATGAAAATAAGTTTTTAGAAGAACAAAAAAGTTACTTCATTATAGGGGGGTCATTATGTGATATTTAAATCTCAGTAACCAAATGAAGTCTATGTATGCTATTGTATGATGGTTGAATTACCTGATTTGTAATAAATTGTACATACATTTTTTGGTGCTTTAGTTTCATAATGTCTTTTTAGTTTGGTGCTTTAATTTAAAGATAAATAACTGCACCTAAAAGTACTATCTTGTGCCTTGGTACTGTATACTTTTGTGATGTACAGATGTAGTGTGTACAGGTATTTGTAGTGTGTACATTATATTACAGTGTCGTGACTACAGTAAAACAGCCAATCTCCGTGCAATAGACCTTACAATAAAACAACAGTATTGCTATTGTTCTTTATTTTTACTTTCTGTTTAAACCTAATGAATTTTAAACAATTTACTAACTGCTTTTTTAATTATTATTTTTTTAGTAAAGCAAGTAAAACATTAATGTAGAAGTTGTTTTTCATTATGTAATGGCCTGTGGCATTTTGAATGGCTTTCAAATATATGTGATAAATTTATATATTTCAATGTTTTATTCTAAACAATTTTGTTTTAATTTTTATCGAAAGCTTTTATTTTTAACATTACAAATTTATGTAGTTTAAACTGTCAAATTAAAACAGGAATATTACATTTAAAATTCTCTATTACAAGAATTAGTTCCTGCATTCATACACTACCATTTTGTTTACATTTTTTTAACAGGTGTGTGTAGTATTTATTTATATTAGCTTCTCTTGTACTCGATCAGCAATGTATTCAACATATCAAAGGGTTTCATTGTACAAAATACTTTGTCAAAACCCTGCAAGTATGGTGGAGTGGACGGGAAATTTAAGAAGTAATTTGTGAGTAAATTTTATTTATTTGTACTAGCATGACCTGATTACGACTCATTATTACCTGGCCAATCAAAATGTATAATTCTGGTGCAATGCATTAAATATAACAGGCTGGTTTGCCATTAATAATGAATGAAACAAAACTGATGTGTTCTTGTTTTTTTTTTCTTATCAAAATATTCTGTGTTCATGTTTTTATTTGTGAAGCATTCTGTCATTTTGTTTTATTTTTTGTTCAATATTATGTGTTCATGTTTTCTCTTTTTTATTAACCGTTAATTGCTTATGTTTTGTATGCTAAGTACTATGTGTTTATGTCTGTCTTTTTGTAAAAAAAATAAATAACTGTATGATGCTGCCACCTATATGATCAGCAATCTTTACTTTTCCAACTAAATATATAACATCTTTTGAGACTTGTGAGCCATTGCTCTGCATTAAAAAATATTGCAAACAACCCAGAGATTAGACATTTTTTTTTAACCAAAAGCCATAACATGACCTGGATAGAAGGCTTCTAGTAGTTATGGGCGCAAGCTCTATAACTATAAAAACTTCTCTAAAACCTCTGTTCATATTCCATGTTTTGTTAGCAATCCAAGGGAGGCAATACTTTGCATTTACAGTTGACATTTATTTTAAAGTAACAAATTTATAAAGGTATTTTATGGCCATAAAACATTGAATAAAAAACAAAAGTGACGCTTTAATATGTAGAAGGGGAAGTAATCCCAGTGTTTTATTGTTAAAGATCTTTAATTTATGTGAATTAGGTTTGGCAATCTTAAAAAAATACAACATTTTCTAGTGTTGTTTTTAATTGTGTGGGGTTATAAACTTCAGGATTTCTCTGTTCTGTGGTAGCTGTTACAGTTACAGATGTGAATTTTTTTATACAGTTAAATTATTCTGACAAAATTATCAAGGAAGGCAGCTGTAGATCTCAACCTGATGAAGAAATTAAATTAAACATAATAACATTAATGGCCTAAACAAATGGTGAAACATGCAAATAAAATGTCAGATTAACTTAATTTAAGTAGATATTTTTAAATTGTTCTCTATATAAGCTATTCTTACCAAATCAATTTCACCAATAAAACTATTTTCATTTCTTCCTGGACATTGACCAATCACAATGGGGGAAAAGTTGTTGACAAGATTGCCTGTAAAATGAGAAAAAAATAACAAAATGTCTGAATGTTAAAGGACTGGCTATATTGAAATTATTTGTTAGAACATTAATTTTCCTTTAGTGAAAAAAAAAACCCTCTCTTTATGTCAGAATCTTTAATTTTAAAAATTGGAAAATTGGTGCTTTGAATTCTAAAAAAAAAAAAAAGTAAATCCTGTAATACTAAAGGGAAATAATGCAACGTTTACTTCTTTTCATGTTTATTTCCCGCGTTTAATTAAAATTTAAGAGAAAAGCAAAATATTCTCTATGCTACCTCTACACAAAAAATAATACACATTACAGGGTAAAGGTAATCTATCGTCCCCTTTCCCATAATAAAAAAAATCTGTAAAATATAACTACTCTAACAATGAAAACCTTCGCAAATAAACATATCAATTTTACCGGTAAACTGAGACAATGTAATTACTTAACCTTAAATATGAATGTTGTGCTCGTTTTACTGAAGATTTCCGAATTGACAGGGGGGAAATGCCCTATTCCCGATTACAATAACAGACTTTTTTTTATGCCTTTTGATGCTCTAAAAAGAGATATTTTTCTCATTCTCATGCTTAACACCTATTTTGATTTGTAATTAAATGTATTTTTTTCTTACTAACTACAACCAATGTGTATATATATATATATAATATATATATATATATATATATATATATATATATATATATATATATATATATATATATATATATATATATATATATATATATATATATATATTGTTACGTACCCCCTTCTCTAATCCTTTCGAACTAGTCAGGGGATCGTAAACAAGAAGAAGAAAAATAAAAATAAATAAATGCCAACTTCAGTAATCTCTATTTATTCGCCACAAAATACAACATCTAACATTAACCCGCCACCACATGGAACACAATAGGAAAAATACACAACTATCTACAACAACTAAAGTACTTAGTACGATTACCCTACTGGTCCCTAACCGTCTAGCCTAGCCTAAGTCTAAAACATGTCGTGGCTTTCCACTAGCTCACAGAGACGACCCATGTCTGTCTCCTCTAGACCTAGCTATCCGAGACGTGTCCGTCCGTCTCCGAGTGTGTGTCGAGAGTGTCCCCCTAGTCTCCGGTCTACCCTCCTAAAGTACTCGTCCCCCGCTATACACCGTGGGAACGATTTTAATTATAGCTAACCCTAGGTCAGATCCGTCCATGACCGTCTACTCGGCCCTGTGCGATCTGGAAGGTTTTCCCAGCCGTAAATCACAAGCTGTTGGCCACGTTAATAGCTGGGACCCCAAGACACCAGGTATGCGCCGCCCACAGCGTGGAACCCAATCCGGTATGGCCGTCACGGCCCAAAGGTTCACACGGCCAGCACTGGTCAGTCTCTGACCACCGCCAGGTTGATGGATGAGCGTGAGATCGCTACCCCAACATACGGGTCAGCCCAGGTCAAACATCAGGTGGTCGTAACAATATATATATATATATATATATATATATATATATATATATATATATATATATATATGTGTGTGTGTGTATGTGTATATATATATTAATATATATAGCATATATATATATATATATATATATATATATATATATATATATATATATATATATATATATATATATATATATATATATATATATATATACGTATAAAGACTACAACTATAAACGAAATAAAGCGGGGGTGAACTTCCATAAAATTTTTAAAAAAAATTTCCTGACAGGACGAGTAAACTGACCATAACGTGATTAGCATGCCATGTTGGCTACCGAAGACTCAACACTGTAACACAGCTGAGTCAAATCCATCACTTTCCCCTTACAAATCACACACAAAAAAACGTGTTCACTGATAGCTCACCTTTTAATGGCACCTTCCTGGCATAGCCGTTGACCACACCTGTTAGGTGCGTGCCGTCATACGTCAATCTGACGTCATTCATCCCGTCATGCTAAATAATAAATGCAAAAATAATTGAAATTTTTTTAAAGATATTGAATAAAACTTTTAAAATTAATTTTATTAGCTTTGGATGCCGTGTAAAAACAAATTATGCAAACTTTTGCAAAAAAAATAAAGTACAAAACTAATGAATCTCAACAACTGTTTAGTACCAAATTAGCAAACATAGATTCTGCAAACCTAATAAGGTAGGTTAAGGAAAGGTTATAAGAGGGTTCATGGGACAAGTGAAGAGTTCACTTGTTCAAATGACCTCGGCATATGAAACAATAATGTGGTCAGCAATATGCCCAGCCGCCTTTACTTTCCCTAACGTGAGTCAGGTACCCATTAGAGCTGGGTGGACTCAGGGAAGTTCTACTGACTTGAATCCGGATTTGAAATCGGGTTTAAATTCTAACGCTTTACCTCTAGACCACGCAAACATAGTACGTATTTCTACATAGCCAGAAAGGCCATATATAACATAATTGCATTTATTAAAATAAATCTCGTTAGATATTCAATCAACATCATCAGCCAAATCTCAGAACCATAAAACATTGTCAGTAGATTGAGCCATTTGAAAACTTGAGCTAAACAGTAACTTTCTTGGAATTTGTTTTATTAGTAAATTAGTTGATCAAGTTAAAAACGCCATAAGCTTTTAAAATACTTTTGAAGTAAAATTTCTTAGGTCAAGAGACAAAAAAAAAACACCATCAGCTGTTAGACCTTGACCTAGACTCAACACCAACGGTATGTTCAATATTTACTCACCACCGGTAAGGTAACGGACGAGCCAGCAGACGACAGATCTGTCTTCAGGGTCATGGTGACGTCATCACCGGAAGTGGATAGATGGACAGAGGGCGGGGACGCAGAATTGGCGCCACAGTTGGACAGGATGTCCATGCTTTGTTTAGAGCTGACCCTGGCGGCTCGTCTGCTCCTGGTGCCGCCTGAAATAACAGCAGAAGACCAAAAATATGTGAGCGTTATGTGTATAGGTGTAATAGTGGAGATCAAAGACAGTAAAATGATAGTTGTATTATTTATGTGGTATGACATGTGTGTTGCCCAGTCTTCTTTGGGTTTTCCTAGCTTTTGTTACGTACCTTTTAGAAATTGGTGAAACCAGTTTTTTATTTCAGGCATTTTTATCTGAAGGGGGGGGGGGGGTGGGTGCAACTGAAAACTTTTGGGAGATGGGTGCACTCAAATTTCCGAGAAGGGGGTTGAAAATCGTTAAAGTAGTTATTTTCTATATTTATAAATTGTTTATTTTCCGATTTCGTCGGGTTGGCCGTTGAACTTACTACATGGGGCAGTCGTCCCGCTCCCCCCCCCGTCCCCGTCCCCGTCCCCCATCTCCCGAATAGGTGTCTCAAGGGAAACTTTTGATGAAACACAGTAATGCTCTTACAAGCTCCTCTGATATGCCAAAGTTATAAGCCGAGTGGCGTAGTGAAATTATTACAGGCCAAGATTACAAAACTTGGACCAGTACCCTCACAAAGTACACCACGTCATAGACAATTCTAGCCTCAGGGGCGTAGTGAGGGGGGGGGGGGGGGCGGGGTGCCGACAGCACCGGGTGACACCATTTAGGGGGTGACACCAAGGCAAAAAATAGCAAAATATATAGAGAAAAATGATAATTCCACTTAATTAAGTGATTAATTCGAGTGTTAAATAGTCTTCTAAGAGGTGCAAATCGAAAGTCTAAGGGGGGGGGGGGGATGCAAATCGAAAGTTTGAGGGGAGGGGGTGCAAATCGAAAATTGAAAGTTTGTCCCCGGGTCTATACGCGCTTCGCCTCTGGGGGGTGACACCATAGTGCCGCACCGGGTGACACCCGACCTCACTACGCCACTGTCTAGCCTGTACATCTTTCACTTACCCAGGTGTTTCTTACAATGACCTGGTGTTTGGCTAACCTTGGTTATTCTAATACTCACCTGATATAAGAATCGTTAAACTACTTCTTACTATGATCCTATATTTGATTCACCTAGGTATTTCGTAAGATGGCCGAGCATTTGCCTAACCCAGATATTTTCTTAAGATGACCCAGTATTCGACTCACCAGGTTATTTGTTAAGATTACACAGTATTTGACTCGCCCAGACATTTCCTCAGATGACCAAGTATTTGACTCACCCAGGTATTTCGTAAAATGACCAAGTATTTGACTGGCCAAAAAAATTCTTAAGATGACCCATAATTTGACTCACCCAGGTATTTCTTATGATGGCCCATAATTTGACTCACCTAAATATTTCCTCAGATGACCAAGTATTTGACTCACCCAGGTATTTCGTAAAATGACCAAGTATTTGACTGACCTAAATATTTCTTAAGATGACCCGGTATTTGACCTGTCCCTCTTTTGACACTACCGTCAGGGAGAGTTATCTCCCACTGTTGGTTACTTCCGTTCTGCTGCAAGGTCATCTGAAGGTCAGCCGGAACATCTCCAGTGCCTGTTCGCACGGTACCATCTGGCATCGTCAGCGTCCATTTTTTCCCTGAAAAAAAAACATTGTTTTTTTTTTTTAATCCAAATTCATCATCGGTAAAAAGAAAAAGTCTGAAGCCACCTTCTGTGAAGGCCGGGTTCAGATAAGTTTTTTTTTTAGTTTAAAGTTTAAGTTAACAACAAGCCCGATACACTAGATGCAAATAAATATGTTAGCAACACACACAGTATAAAAGGGGGATGGAGTAGTCTAACGGTAGAGAGGTAGACTGCTAACTCGGAAGTTCGAATCTGGGTTCATATCAGTAGACCGTTCCCGAGTTCATCCAGCTCTGACGAGTACCTAACTCGCGTCAGGGAAAGTAAAGGCAGCTGAAAATAGAGCTGGCTACACTATCCCTTCAAATTCCGAGGTCACAGAAAGTAGTAAACTCTACTTCACTTACCCCATAGACCGTCAGCTTAGAAGGGTAACTTTACTCACCTTTACAGTATAAAAGTAGTCAGACGCATCCTTTAGGACATACAATGAAGTTAACTAACAACAAAAACCAACCCGCACCCCCTTAACATAAAGTATCCAAAATGTTTGAACATACAAGTTTTAGTTCACGTTGACCGAAAATCACAACAACAATCGCTTTATTGAAATATTTACCTAATGTTGAGCTATTTTTAGATTTCTGTCCTTGTCCTTGACCCTGCGCTGAGGTCATCAGGTCAGACGGCACGGCCCCTGTGCCGGTCCTCACGGTCCCGTCCGGCAGAGTGGCACTCCAGACGGTGCCGGTGCCGGCACCCTGGCTCCTGATGGCGGCACTCACGTCTGCCGGCATCTCCCCCACGCCACTTCGGACTGACCCGTCCGGTAAGGTGACCTTCCATCGGTTGATGACGTCACTTCCGCCAGTCGCGATCTGTACATCGCAGGTTAAAAAAAATCTTTTTAACAACTTATAAAACTAAATAGCCTAATCCAAGTGAGAGAAAAATTACCCATAAAGAATTCTAATACAATCAATTTGAATTAATATAAAGAAGTGTAAATATATTTTAAAAAATAATATTATTTTTTTGTTTTAGATCAGGGGTCTCCAAACTTTTTAGTCCGAGGGCCGCATTAACTATCAAATTTCAGTTCGGGGGCCAATTTGTTTCTAGGCATGTCGTGATTTTTCTGAGCAAAGTTCCTTAGCTATCACCAACAAACGTTTTTTTTCCGTGGACAAAAAATCTCCGCGGGCCGGATGAGAGGACTTCGCGGGCCGCATCAGGCCCGTGGGCCTTAGTTTGGAGACCCCTGTTTTAGATGATCTGTTGACGTTTTGCATCACTGAACTAAGAATTTAAGGCGGCTGTAGTTTGTGTGTTGTATTTTTTTTAAATATGCGCTAGTTATATTTTATTTGCGAGTTATGTATCAATTAATCATTTAAATTTTTTGAATAATTGATAATCATTTATTTGTTTTAAATGTTAAATCAATATGCATTGCCTTAAACCACATAAATTAAATTAAATATATTATCAACTTTTTGAACCATTTTACTATTTTAAAAAATTGAATCATTATTATTCTGAATTTTTAAAAGGGTCATCCATAAATGACGTCACGCTATTTTTGACGATTTTTATCTTCCCCCTCCCCTTCGTCACACATCGTCACAAAAAGCCAGACCCCCCAACTAAAGTGGCGTCACACATCAGCCTACAACCCCCGCAAAATTGCAGTTGAATTTTTCTTATAACATCGATATTTTTCCAAAATCTTGTCTGAACTCTATCAAATTAGAGTGTTTTAATAAATTGCAACAGGAATTGATCAGTCTTCTAAAATGCGAAATAACGTCTAAAATTTGTTTTTTAACAATGCTTTTTTATACTGCAAAAGTGTGACGTCGCAACATCTGAACCCCCCCCCCCCACCCCCTCATCACACACCATCACAAAATTACGGACCCCCCCCCCTCCCCCCTACGAGTGTGACGTCATTTATGGACGACTCCTAATGTGATAGAAGAATTAAAAAACATCTTAAATCACTCGGGTAAGAAACAGACTAGTAGTACAGCGAATAACAAAAAGTGACATCACCTTGGCAGCTGGCGAATAGACTTCCTGGAAGAGGTCAAGGATCTCCTGGGGTATTGGACCGGTTCCAGACTTGACCTCTCCACTGGGCAGCTTGACCTTCCAGCCGTTGACGTGTGAGGTCTGATGACGTCAGAGATTAATCAATGTAAGGTTGTAGTTTCGACTTTATTGTGTACACTATGTAAACAGTGTGTACTAGCTACTCGTGTGTGTAATGTTTGTGGTGTGTTGTGTGTTTAAAGTACTACTCACAGAGGCGTAGCGAGGAGGGGGGCGGGGGGGGGACATATGTCCCCGGGCGCCGACCTTAGGGGGGGGGCGCCAAATTAAAAGTTTTTGAGGGGGTGTGCAAATGAAAAGTTCTAGGGGGGGGTGCAAATCGAAAGTTTGTCCCCGGGTGCCGGGAAGGGTCGCTACGCCTCTGACTACTCATTGGGTCCTGAAGTTGAATTCAACTTTTTCTGTTATCTCGCCTTATGCCCTAACGCGAGAAAGTAGTGAAGTTCCATTTCAAACCTGGCGGTCTATCGGGCACTTGTTTCTGGGACCATGGCATATGAAGGGATAGAGTAGTCAGCACTATGTTCAGAGTTGGGTGGACTTAGGGACGGTGTACTGACTTGAACCCGGATTCAAACTCGAGACTTACGGGCTAGCAGTCCAGCTCTCTACCGCTAGACGACGCCGTCCCATTATGTACTCAATAATGTATGCAGGGCCGGCGCTACCTATAAGGCGAACTATGCTGTCGCATCGGGCGCCATCCCTCGGGGGGGGGGGGCGCAAAAAAATTGTTTAATCGTTATTATCAAAAAGTACCTAATAATTAATAGCTTTGATTATCTTTTATAAACTATAGATAGTAATATACAAAGGAGTAGCGATCTATTTGGGCGCCCAGGACGAACTATTAATTTTGCGCCCCCACCCCAAATTTAGGTCTATGTAGGCCTATATCCGCGATGATGAGAATACAACCCCAACCTCCCTAATTTGGAAAGGTCGGGACGCTTTTTACCAGTCCCTTTGCCTTTTTATTTTGGTGTCACATAACTGATGTAGAAAACGATTAAATAAGTTCGTAATTTAACTTTCGAACCTTTCAAACGGTTATCTAATTTTAATGTTAATTTAGTGATCGCTCCAACGATAGACAGGGCGTTCCAAAACACGTGACATTTTGGTTTTTAAGTCTCGTTTTCTCTGACTTTGAATTGGAAATCTGTTCTGGTGTATAGAGTTTTGTTATGGCGGAGTTTTCAAAGTATTGTACTTGTTTGGTAAGTTTTGATGAATCGTTTAGATTTGGCAGTAACGGTGGAAGGCTGTTGTTGTTATGGTTTTGGTAGGTATAAAGTATCGAAGTGTTAAAGTGTCGTATGTTTATTTGGCTGTTGTGTAGTTGTAGTCTAGTGGAATCTAAATGGTAGTAGAGAAATGAGAATGTGGGTGATGAGGTATCGTAGTTCTGGAGTTCGGGAATATCGAGTCTTGTGGTATCAAGGTATCGAATTGTGTTGACTGTTAACGTGTAGTAGTAGGTCCAGTGAAATCGTTGTTGATTGGGAGTATCGTTTGTAGAGCTTGGTGAAGTTAAGTGAGTTGGTGTCGTAGTTCTGGAGCATCGAGTCTAGTTATGTTTAGGTATCGAATTTTGTGAATGTAGTAGAGTATATCGAGTAGTCGAGTTTATCGTACGTTAGCTGATTTCAATTCAGGACGGAACACACTACAAAGAAAGGTAGGCGTTTTCTAGCTGAAAAATCTTTAGTTTTTTTTAGGAATATATATTACCACTATAATATTATATAGGCTGGAATTTATAACTCACCGTAAACATAGTTTTTTCAAATTATAATTGTTTTTTATATTTAATCAATAATTTATAGCACAGTCTTAAACAGGGTTCGGCAACCTTTTGAGCCGCAAGAGCCAAAAGTTACTATTTACAAAAGTTCCCAGTTTTTAAAGAGCCACTAACATTTGTATTTCAATATTTTTGGCATTTGATTCGGATTAGATATATACTTTTGAATTTTAATTTGAAATAAATAGCTTTAAATATGAAAGAATATTTATACTTAAAAAACATACTAATATTTAGCACAAAACATATTAAAGTATTTCACTCTGCTATGATAAAATTAGTAAACAAATAATATAACTATACGACTATCCCAATCCAATTTAAAAGCCAATAACTTTTTTCTTTCTTTACGGACACCACCGGCTCAGGAGGTGTCTCCCATAACCCGGCAGCCCTAAACACGACCAACTCCGACCAATAGCTTGGGTATCGGTCGCTTCGGTTCTCATCGGGCTTATCTTCCTACCCACTGAACGCAGGGTAAACTCGTACCCCACCGGCTCAAACGTAGGAAGCTAATAACATTTAAAAACTACGTCACTCTGGTCAAATTAATACATACTGACCGATAGAGAAATGAATTCTGAATAAGAATAATATTGCTCATTTAACGATATTCGAAAAAGTCGGCACTGGCAAGAATGGAACCTTCGCCACGGGGCTGGCTACAGCACGGTCTGGGTCTGGTGCCCAAGCGGCTGTCAGCTGTCCGTATCCTTTCTGCCTCGCCTACTCTCATTGTTCTCTGATGAGTGTTTTTTCATTTTTAAAGTTGTTTTTCTTTACAATAATTTTAATGAGTTTTGAAAAAATTGCAAAATAATCTATATATATAATTCTCTTCTGGGAGACGCTAGAAAACAAGCTGTAAACGCGCTCTCTACCATCCCCACCCGTACATGGTCTTAGTGAGCTGTGGTTCACGCTGTTTACCTTCGTGGAGTCGGGTTTAGTGACGGCTATTAGGGGCAGATAATTTATTTTGAAACGATTTTAAACGTTGGGGGGGGGGGGGGGAAAGGAAGGGGGGGTTATGGTCCTTTGGTCCTTAACGAGCTACTTATAGTGTTTTAAAGAAATATTTTCAGTGTCAGCGTTAGTACTGTCGAATTCACAAATTATGAATTACTGAAAAGTAGAAAACAACTAAATAGCGGCGTATGTTATGCCGCGGGCCGGCTCGTTATCAATATTTGTGCATGGAACTGGAGAGCCGCATCTTGACATCAAAGTAGCCGCATGCGGCTCGCGAGCCGCAGGATGCCGACCCCTGTCTTAAACAGTTGCCCGAATTCGATTATTGGAAAGTGTCCCTTTGTTTAGGGATCCAAAATTAAGAATGAAGATGAGTTCATGGTAATCTGCGTTGAATGTCATCAAAATTGACTAGAAGTATGTTATAATAAAGCTACCGTCTTTAAACCTTCAAACCAAAAATACAGTTAAGTAGTCAATTGACAAAATATATTCTATTGCCATGGATACATAGTTAATATACAATTTCTTTTTTATAATTATTACGTAATAAAATTTAGATTGTTTATTGTTTCTCAAGCACGTCTTAGTCACATTTTGTTAATTTAGCTATTTTGTTTAAAGTTATTTCCCTTGAATAAAATATGGTATTTGAATTTCCAAATGGGAGATAATTCATCCATTTCAAATTCCTGCACCTTAGGCTGACAGCTTACATATAAATACAACTTTAAGTTACTATTTGCTATTGTAACATTTATATAGAGCAGAAGTTCTAAACTAAATAGTTTGTTAGTTTTTTTAGCATTATCCAGTTGAAAAACAAATATATCAGTAGCCGTTGTAGATTGCAATAATGAATGTTACTAGACATACATTACGAGATAGCGCAACTAATGCGTCGAAATCGTCTTAGTCGCAAAATCTAATCATCTAATTAACTTTCTTTTTATTATTTTTCACCCTCTCCTAAAGGATTTATATATAACATTTGTAGGCTGGAATCTATAACATTTATAACCTTTTATTTTTCAAAAACAAAAAAAAATCGTTACATAATCACACAATATTGACATATTACAATTTTAACCAAAGACATTCAAGCTTAAAACAGGTACATTCCGTTCTGGAACTCACATTGGGAGGTCGGCAGAGAGCCCAACACTACAAGAAGTGTGGGGGTTTTTTCAGTGTTTTTTTCCAGACTTTTTTTCCGGGAGCGGGGGGGGGGGGGGGAGGGAGAGAAACATTTGAAATTTTTCTAAGAGGGAGGGGGGGCTATGTCTGTAAGTACAAAGTAGACTCGTGGACTTAGCAACAATTTCAATAGAATGTGATTACGCTTGTGAATAGGAATTAAAGAAATTAGTACAAATTTTTGCGACGAAGGAGGCAAGTAAAATGTTGATGTCTACTTATAACGTTTATGCAATTGATAATAAATTAATATGTCACTTTTAATTAATTTTTTTCTTATAAATATGTTTTATTAATTGATCTGTGTGAAAGGGGGCGTTTTAATAAGTTTTGCCTAGGGCGCTAAATAACCTGGCGCCGGCACTGAATGTGTGTGTATTATGTTGAGATGTGTGCCATTACACACCATTAAAAAACAATCCCAACTTTCCATATTTTATCAAGTCCTTATCGAACCAAAAACAAATTGTATTGCCATTTAACTAATTTCACATTGGAAATTTGCGGCATACAATTTTAAACAAATACCAAATGGCTGAATTTCAGTTTGCTATATTATTAGCAGAAATTATCGATGTTGTGTTCTGGGAGGAGATGGCTATTTTACCTTGACCAATACAGTTTATTACATAGCCTTCGTATTCTCAATAGCTAAAAAAAAATACACAAAAACACGCACAAATACACACACAAGCTGACCCCACCAATACACACACACAACCACACTTACACACAAACACAAACCTCCACACACCAACCCCCCCCCCAAAAAAAAAACACATACAAACCCACACACACAACACACACACACAAACCCACACACACAACACACACACAAACCCACTCACAACCCACACACACAAAAACGAACCCCCCTCCCCCCCCCCCCACACACACAAACACAAACTCCACACACGAACCCCCCCCTAAACACACACACAAACCCACACACACAACCCACACACAAACAAACCCCCACATACCTGAGGTAGCGGGATCTCGCCTTTAGCGAACTGCGTGACGCCGTCAGGTAGAGCCCCCCGTCCTTCCAGAACCTTCTGACCGTTGACCCTGGTCACCTCCCAGTGGGGGGAGCCCCCGTCACGGCTGGTTGACCTTAGCAAGAGATTGGCTGGGTTGGCGGAGTATTTCTGTAGGGTCAGCATCGGTGTTCTCCCTTCAATAAAACAAAGGTTTCTATTGGTCAATATGTTCTCCCTTCAATAAAACAAAGGTTTCTATTGGTCAACGACCAAAAGTATGTAAGTTAATCAGCTATGTTATTCCTTCAATACAACAAAGGTTTCTATTGGTCAACGACCACAACATATTTTGAAAAAATTCGAATCTAAAGCTAAAGCATCAAGACACGCTTTAACAAAGTTATAGCTACGTTTTTTTTTAAATATATAAACTAATCAGTGTTTCATTAAGATATTTTACTGAGGATTGGGGGGGGGGGGGCACTTGAAACTATCGGGAGGGGAGAGTGCTTACTTACATTTCGGCGGGGCGGACACTGGTTGCAATTTTTATTTTGTATATAAATTTTATTTAACCTGGGGAAGGGGGGCGGTAGACGTGTGCTTCGTGGGTGCACTGCCCCCCCCCCCCCGACTCCTCACCCCTCAGGGATTCCTGAAAGAAACTCTGTAACTAATATATCATGTCAATATTGCTGTATGTTAACCATGTGTTAAAACGCCTTAATAATAAAATATCACACTAAACTGGTGTTAGGTTATTGCTAACCCTAACCCTAAGGGAATATTACATACGTAACCGCAACTACCCACAACTCCCCCCCCCCCCCGCCCCCCATTTTACGTAAAATGTAGATAGGTCCGTCGTAGTATAAAAATGTTACTAAATAAAGATGACCAATCATAAACGTCGTACCTTGTCCGCTCTCCAACACGTGACCGTTTGGTGCCAGCACTGACCAGGTGGATGTGACCTGGCCAGGGGTCAAGGCCGGACCCAGCAGAAACTCGTCCAACAAAGCCTGGGGGATCTGCCCCGGCCCTTCTTGTAACTCTGAGCCATCGGGCTTGGAGATTTGCCATCTGTAAGCACAAACAGTGGTGTTAGTTGAACGTCTTGTTTAAAGCAGACGTTTGAAGAAATATATGTTTACAAGCTTACTTTTGTGTAGATTAAATGAGGAGAGGGGGGTGTAGTGTTTCTTTCAGACTTTGAAATTTCAGGGGGGAGGATCGGACTAGATTTTTCGGAGTGGGGTGGGGGGAGGGTCTCTGATAAAAGTATATTTCTTTATTTCTTTTTTCGATTTCGTTCTGGGAGGGGGGGGCGTAGACATGCTTCAGTGGTGGGGGGGGGGGGGGGGGGCAGTGAAGAAAGAAACTCTGGCGGCGTGGTCTGGCGGTACAGCAAACGATGGCTAACACGAAGGAAATGAAGTTCGGCCAAAAACTCACACAAAATATGTTTTCCTACTCAATACACGAAATGTAATGGCATGGAACGATATTTTGATTATCCGAAATTAAAATAATTAAAAGTATTAATACATGATCTTTATCAAGAAATAAAACAAATACTTTATTAAAAAAAACGTTTATATACAGCTTTTAAATGCAATGGAAAATAAATATTTTTTTTAGAAAAAAAAAACTTAAAGAAACTTTTTAAATAATGAAACAAACTAGCTTTCATTTCGAAACGTATTTTATTTTGTTATCTATTGTAAGTGTTGTTCGCTAAAATGTGTAGTAAGAGACCTATGCTTTTAATGAAACATAGTACATTTATTCTGTTACCTTTTATTCGTGTCACGGGTTCTTATTGTTTGTCCAGTCACTGGTTCGTGTCACCGGTAGTTACCTGAATATTGTGTTACCAGTTGGGGTCACTGGTTCGTGTCACCATTTCTTGTAACCTGTTCCTGTCACCATTTCGTGTAACCGGTTCGTGTCACCATTTCTTGTAACCTGTTCCTGTCACCATTTCGTGTAACCGGTTCGTGTCACCATTTTGTGTAACCGGTTCGTGTCACCATTTCGTGTAACCGGTTCGTGTCACCATTTCGTGTAACCGGTTCGTGTCACCGGTAATTATCAGCATATTGTGTCACTGGTTCATGTCACCGGTTGATGTCACTGGTTCATGTCACTGGTTCATGTCACTGGTTCATGTCACCGGTTGATGTCACTGGTTCATGTCACCGGTTGATGTCACTTGTTCATGTCACTGGTTCATGTCACTGGTTCATGTCACTGGTTCATGTCACTGGTTGATATCACTGGTTCATGTCACTGGTTCATGTCACTGGTTCATGTCACTGGTTCATGTCACTGGTTCATGTCACCAGTTCATGTCACTGGTTCATGTCACTGGTTCATGTCACTGGTTCATGTCACTGGTTCATGTCACCGGTTGATGTCACTGGTTCATGTCACCGGTTGATGTCACTTGTTCATGTCACTGGTTCATGTCACTGGTTCATGTCACTGGTTCATGTCACTGGTTCATGTCACCGGTTGATGTCACTGGTTCATGTCACCGGTTGATGTCACTTGTTCATGTCACTGGTTCATGTCACTGGTTCATGTCACTGGTTCATGTCACTGGTTGATATCACTGGTTCATGTCACTGGTTCATGTCACTGGTTCATGTCACTGGTTCATGTCACTGGTTCATGTCACCAGTTCATGTCACTGGTTCATGTCACTGGTTCATGTCACTGGTTCATGTCACTGGTTCATGTCACTGGTTGATATCACAGGTTCATGTCACTGGTTCATGTCACTGGTTCATGTCACTGGTTCATGTCACTGGTTCATGTCACTGGTTCATGTCACTGGTTCATGTCACTGGTTCATGTCGCTGGTTCGTGTCACTGGTTCATGTCACTGTTTTATGTCACTGGTTCGTGTCACTGGTTCATGTCACTGGTTCATGTCACTGTTTTATGTCACTGGTTCATGTCGCTGGTTCGTGTCACTGGTTCATGTCACTGGTTCATGTCACTGGTTCATGTCACTGGTTCATGTCGCTGGTTCGTGTCACTGGTTCATGTCACTGGTTCATGTCACTGGTTCATGTCGCTGGTTCATGTCACTGGTTCATGTCACTGGTTCATGTCACTGGTTGATATCACTGGTTCATGTCACTGGTTCATGTCACTGGTTCATGTCACTGGTTCATGTCACTGGTTCATGTCACCAGTTCATGTCACTGGTTCATGTCACTGGTTCATGTCACTGGTTCATGTCACTGGTTCATGTCACTGGTTCATGTCACTGGTTCATGTCACTGGTTCATGTCACTGCTTCATGTCACTGGTTCATGTCACTGGTTCATATCACTGGTTGATATCACTGGTTCATGTCACTGGTTCATGTCACTGGTTCATGTCACTGGTTCATGTCACTGGTTGATATCACAGGTTCATGTCACTGGTTCATGTCACTGGTTCATGTCACTGGTTCATGTCACTGGTTCATGTCACTGGTTCATGTCACTGGTTCATGTCACTGGTTCATGTCGCTGGTTCGTGTCACTGGTTCATGTCACTGTTTTATGTCACTGGTTCGTGTCACTGGTTCATGTCACTGGTTCATGTCACTGGTTCATGTCACTGGTTCATGTCACTGGTTCATGTCACCGGTTGATGTCACTTGTTCATGTCACTGGTTCATGTCACTGGTTCATGTCACTGGTTGATATCACTGGTTCATGTCACTGGTTCATGTCACTGGTTCATGTCACTGGTTCATGTCACTGGTTCATGTCACTGGTTCATGTCACTGGTTCATGTCGCTGGTTCGTGTCACTGGTTCATGTCACTGGTTCATGTCACTGGTTCATGTCGCTGGTTCGTGTCACTGGTTCGTGTCACTGGTTCATGTCACTGGTTCATGTCACTGGTTCATGTCGCTGGTTCGTGTCACTGGTTCATGTCACTGGTTCATGTCACTGGTTCATGTCGCTGGTTCGTGTCACTGGTTCGTGTCACTGGTTCATGTCACTGGTTCATGTCACTGGTTCATGTCACTGGTTCATGTCACTGGTTCATGTCGCTGGTTCGTGTCACTGGTTCATGTCACTGGTTCATGTCACTGGTTCATGTCGCTGGTTCGTGTCACTGGTTCGTGTCACTGGTTCATGTCACTGGTTCATGTCACTGGTTCATGTCACTGGTTCATGTCACTGGTTCATGTCACTGGTTCATGTCACCGGTTGATGTCACTTGTTCATGTCACTGGTTCATGTCACTGGTTCATGTCACTGGTTGATATCACTGGTTCATGTCACTGGTTCATGTCACTGGTTCATGTCACTGGTTCATGTCACTGGTTCATGTCACTGGTTCATGTCACTGGTTCGTGTCACTGGTTCATGTCACTGGTTCATGTCACTGGTTCATGTCGCTGGTTCGTGTCACTGGTTCATGTCACTGGTTCATGTCACTGGTTCATGTCACTGGTTCATGTCACTGGTTCATGTCACTGGTTCATGTCACTGGTTCATGTCACTGGTTCATGTCACTGGTTCATGTCACTGGTTCATGTCACTGGTTCATGTCACTGGTTCATGTCACTGGTTCATGTCACTGGTTCATGTCACTGGTTCATGTCACTGGTTCATGTCACTGGTTCATGTCACTGGTTCATGTCACTGGTTCATGTCACTGGTTCATGTCACCGGTCAGTGTCACCGGTACTCACCTGTCTACCGTATCCCCCCTCTCGTACACTTTCACCAACGTCCCAGGTGTGAAGCCGGCATAACGGTTCATGACGTCATCAGGGATGGGTCCTTCACCTTTCTGTAGCACAATCCCACCAGGAGCCAAAATAAACCACCTCTCTAGCGTAGGTGGTAAAAGATCAAACCCATGTTTTTGCTGTTTCAAAAAAATTAAAAATAAAACAAATAAATGGGAAACGGGTAAATAGAAAATAAATGTAAAATAATGTATTATATATTAATCAGTCAAACCATTTAAGTATAATAAGAAAAGATTCCTCCTTAGACCTAGCGATAAATTGGGTAGATGAAGTAGAGTTCATGTATTTTTTGACCACTGAATATGAAGCGATAAATTGGGCAGGTGAAGTAGAGTTCTTTTATTTTTTTACTAATCTATTGGAAGGGATAGCGTAGTCAGCATTAAGTCCAGCCGCTTTTACTCTTCCCTACGTAATTCACGTATCCAGCCAAACCTTTATGAGTTATATATTGGTCTTACCAACATTTTACCTTAACAATGAGCCCGAAATATAGATACTCTACGTTGTATAACATGAATATGTGACGGTCTGGTAGGGCAGTATAGCGCACCCGCTTCTAACAAGAAAACTTATGTCTCGAGGACATAGCAGATAACTTACCGACTCCGACCTTCTCTGATGGGTGCATGACTGACGAAATGGAAAGTTAAGACTGCTGGGCGTGAACTGACTAAACTATAGCTTTATGTACCGAGATAAAAAAAAAACTAGTTTGACTTTACTTCATCTACACTATTGACAGCCGTCACCGAAAAGGTAAATAGAAGATGTAGACAGAAGGTCATGATCTTAAGATCTTAAGAAACAGAAACAAAATATACTCTATTCAATCTTGGACTATCGTGATCTTTAATTATTGGCTAGGGGTCATCCATAAATGACGTCACGATTTTTGACGATTTTTATCTCCCACCTCCCCTCCGTCACACGTCATCACAAAAGCCAGACCCCCTCCCCCCCCCCCCCCCCGCCCAAAAATGCTGTTGAATTTTTCTTAAAGCATCGATATTTTTCTAAAATCTTGTCAGAACTCTTTCAACATAGAGTATTTTGATCAATTTCTATTACAATTTATTAAAACCGTTTTTTAAAACGCGAAATAACGGCTAAAACTCGTTTTCTAACATTGCTATTTTATAATGCAAAAATGCGACGTCACGCTATCTGAACCCTCCCTCCCCCTCATCACACACCGTCACAAAATTACGGACCCCCTCCCCCTGCGAGTGTGACGTCATTTATGGACGACCCCCCCCCCCCCCCCCCCCTACGTTCGTCTGTCTGTGATTTTCAAAAGGGAACAACCAAAGAAATACAGAACAAAAAACAAACCAAAAATAGTGGTTTAATTTCAGATTAAAATATTTGTGAGGTTTTGTTTACTTTAATGCCTCTATCCCATGATGCGTTGCTACTAGTTATAGGCCTATATAAAATAGCAAAACCGCTGACTTATATTAGTCTTATTATTTACCTGTATATCTTGTGGGACATCCCCGCGGCCAACTTCAACAATTTTCCCAGTTTTCCCGTCAGGATGCACAGAAACAATCCGCCATTTTAAATTATTGTTGTCGTCCACCCCTTCGTTGATTAATATCTTGTCTTTGCCATTCGGGATGTAGACGATTCCATTTTGTATTGTAGGGGTGGCAGCTTTACCGATCTTCCCGATGTGAACAACGTTGTTGTGTTGTTGGCCCGGGCTGGTCCACGTCATGTTGACGTCATAGCGTGGGTCGCGAACGATTGTGCCGTTTTTGAGGAACGTTAAAATTTCCAGCGGCTTCAGGGCAGCACCTAGTATACAGGTAGTTTGTAACATAAAGTTGTGCTTCACAATCGAAGAATAGTAAAATTAATGTTAAAACATTTTAAAAACAATAAAAGGGTAGGCTACAGGAAGAGGAGGGACGTCGTGGCCTATCAGTAGAGTGCTAGACTGCTAAGCCAAAAGTCTCAAGTTTGAATCCATGTTGAAATCAGTAGACATTCCAGAGTCAGCCCAGCTCTGATGGGTACCTAACTCATGTTAGGGAAGTAAAGGCGGCTAACCTTGTATTCCGTGGTCATTGAAACAGATGAACTCTACTTCGTCTACCCCATGTGTAATGGGCTCAAACGGGAAAAAATGATGATAAAATTCAAAAGAAAACTAAACATCCATCCCATAATGATAAACGTTAAAATAACTCAGATATTAAAATTTATATTTACACTCATGAAATACCTGGCCTATTTACTGTATCCTTTATGATCACTTCTTTTTGGCCGGTCACAATATTTTGTCCGTTGCTTGTGTTTTTGAGCCAATGTTGAAATCCCCAATCATTGTTGGTTAAAACCTTGAAATGACATGGTAATTAGTGATGTTTCAAACCTCACTAGGGCTATAGGAGTAGATGCATTAATCTAGTGTCTATATTTCTAGTTATATATACATACTTTGATACAATAATGTATATGTAAAACATTGTACACTTTCATTATACAGTATGTGTATATATATACATATATATATATATATATATATATATATATATATATATATATATATATATATATATATATATATATATATATATATATATATATATATATATATATATATATGCGCGTATATATATATATATATATATATATATATATATATATATATATATATATATATATATATATATATATATATATATATATATGTGTGTGTGTGTGTGTGTTTGTTTGTTTGTGTGTTTGTTTGTGTGTGTGAGTGTTAGACATTTAAACGTATTTTTTTTTATTGTCATGTATTAGAAAATCTTGAGAGCTGTTATCTATCTACCTCAGGAAAAAGACCTGGTTAAGACCAAAAGACTGACCTGGTTAAGACCAAAAGACTGACCTGGTTAAGACCAAAAGACTGACCTGGTTAAGACCAAAAGACTGACCTGGTTAAGACCAAAAGACTGACCTGGTTAAGACCAAAAGACTGACCTGGTTAAGACCAAAAGACTGACCTGGTTGAGACCAAAAGACTGACCTGGTTGAGACCAAAAGACTGACCTGGTTGAGACCAAAAGACTGACCTGGTTCAGACCAAAAGACTGACCTGGTTGAGACCAAAAGACTGACCTGGTTAAGACCAAAAGACTGACCTGGTTGAGACCAAAAGACTGACCTGGTTGCGACCAAAAGACTGACCTGGTTGAGACCAAAAGACTGACCTGGTTAAGACCAAAAGACTGACCTGGTTAAGACCAAAAGACTAACCTGGTTAAGACCAAAAGACTGACCTGGTTAAGACCAAAAGACTGACCTGGTCATTTGTCGTGTTCCTCTTGACTCTGAACCTGACGTGAATGACCAGCTGGTCCCTGAGGTTTTGATTGGCTGTTGCTGGCATGGTCAGGTGACTGTCCCCGCTGAAGTGGGCGGTGCCGGAAGTAGTCAGGGACACGTTGTGGATGTCGACATGTTGATGGTTGCCTGAGGTGTCTTCAAAGTTGGTGTCGAAGTTTAGTTTGACGTTCGGCGTACAGGCTGTTGGTTTTAAGTTGAAAAATACTCAATGTTATTTTATTAACTTCATTTTCTAAATTACATTTGTCTACTGTTACATTAATATTGTAATTGTGTATCGATAGTAATCAAATATCCAACGCACTCAAAATATCTACGTGATCCATTTGTATATAATGACTAATTAAACGTCGTATTATATTGAAAATTGGATATCCTCGCATCGGTATCGTAAACAAACGTGTTCGGAAAGTTTTAGGGAATCGTTGCATTAGAAATAGTCTAAAATTGAGTTACACGATTTGCCAAAAATACAAAAAAAAAGTAAAAAAAAAATAGTTGGAAAAAAAATCGAAAATGTTCTATAGATACATGTAGTAGATGAAGTACAGTTCATTGTTCTTGACTTCGGTATATTAATGTAAGGTGTGGTCAGCACTTTGCTCAGCGGCAATATGAGTTAGGTACCTATCAGAGCTAGGTGAACGTTCTAATGACTTGGATCCGGATTCGACCTCGAGACTTTCGAGTTAGCAGCGTAGCACTCTACCACTTAGCCGTTCCATAAGATACATAGTAAAGTAGACTAAAAAAATGTACTCATGTCAAAACACATCTAGGACTAAACGCCGGCACACTGCTCACCTAGAGTGGGCACCACCTGCCCAGCATCAAACGTGCACGCACACAACCTGGTGCTGTACATCTGGCCTGGTGAGCAGAACCTCTTGACGTGACCTTGACCCGGGATGACCTCCAGGTAGCTGTAGTAACTGTCGCGGTCAGGTCTGTACCTGCAGGCACCTGCATGGTTACCATGGAGACGAGACACAGAATGTTAACATGATTCTAATATTGTAAACCGGTTGTTAATTTTATTTAGACAATCGTTTAGTTAATGCAAATGGATAAGGTCACTAAGAGCAACATTAGGTCATATAGAATAGAACGACTATTTTTATGATGGTTAATATTTTTGGTGTTTAACATTACGCACATTTTTACTAATAAATTTAGCAATAGGCTAAAACTGGAATCAATTAACTAACGTTACAAAATTAATGATTTGTGGAGCTCTTTCTGAAGGTCTGCAGAACGAATAATTTCTTAAACGCTTTATTGTCCACTTATAAGTTCACAGTTTTCTAACTTGAAATCGGATACTTGTAACAGTAGCCATACGCTCTACCACTCCACCACTTTAATATTTGTTTCGTTTACCTCTAAACGAAAATGTAAGTTCATGTTTAAAAAATTGAAATGTTCCACAACCTGTGTTGCTTCCAGGCATCTCTTCGGGGTGGGGGTGGGGAGCTCCGCGAAGAAACTCTACTGCCCCCCCCCCATAACGAAATGGAATTTATATAGAAAACATATTTTTACCAGTGTCCTCCTCTCACCCCCTCTGGAATATATTGTCAGCTCCCCCCCCCTACGCTTGCCCTTTGAAACACTGATGTAAACCAGTATGAAGTGAGGGTACACGAAAATTTACCTCGATTGAAAACGTTGAAATGTTCCATACCCTTCTAAAATTTCCGGAAGGTGGGGTCAACATATATTTTCTATATAAATTCTATTTGGGGGTGTAGACATTTTTCGTGAGGTGGGGGGGGGGGGAGGGAGCAGAACCCCCCGACGAGATGCCTGGAAGAAACTCTGCCACCGTTCACGACAATTTTTTTTTAGCCTGAAAACGTTGAAATATGCCCTAATGTTAAACAGACTACTATTTACCTAGATTGAAGATGGTGACCTCCAGCGGACACTTCTCCTGACACGCCGGGTCACCGACACACCCTGTCCCCTCCACGTACTTGTACCCCTTCTCACAGCACTGGGGGTTCGACTTGCCGTTGGTGCAGGTGAAGTAGGAGCGACAGGTAGCCAGTTCGGAGGACGATGGGTAGGATTGGAGGTTCGAATCTGAGGCGCACCTGTCTATACATGCATGAATAATACACGTGCTTATTTTAATGAGAGACAAAATAAAATCATAACAATGTTTGTTTGTCTTCAAGACGATAATCCAATTACTGATAATAAACACACTACTATTAGTTAGATACAGTATCTGACACAGCTGTATGCAGGGGCGTAGCGAGGGGGGGGGCGGGGGGTGTGGACCGCACCGGGTGACACCATTTAGGGGGGTGACACCAAGGCATAAAATAGCTAAATATATAGAGAAAAACTTGAGGGGGGTGCAAATCGAAAACTTGAGGGGGTGGTGCAAATCGAAATTTTGAGGGGGGTGCAGATCGAAAGTTTGTCCCCGGGAAGGGTCGCTACGCCTCTGGGGGGTGACACCATTAAGTGCCGCACCGGGTGACACCCGACCTCGCTACGCCACTGGCTGTATGTGAAAGTATAGTATGAATTCTTGTGAAGGAAGAGATTCGGCGTAGAAGGTGAAGATGGACCGATCATACGTTGAGGAAACTGGCAACTGCTATAACCGGGACAAGGCTAATTATGGAATCCACAAGGATATACAAAAAGGGAGATCCCAAAAAATGTAAACAAAAATTGAAAAAGACAAAAAAAAATGGTTAACAAAAAACAAATCATTGACTTGATGTTGTAAATAGCCTATGCTCCACTAGGGACTTGGAAAAAAATGCAAAGAACAAGAAGACAAGACCGTTACTGTCATAGCGTAAATGTGAAGGACGATTTAAAGTTAGATCTTATAGATGATAGACAATAAGGTTCGAGAATATTTGCGGTCTTTTAGTCGTTTGATAGAATGTGTGTATTGAGAGTATGATGCGACTGTAAGAACGATGACGTAGGAGACAAGACTACACAGAGATAGTGGGATACGACATGATAGGAATCTGACTTTTTGTAGTGGTGTCTGTTATAGTCAATGAGATTAAAGTGTTATATATCATTGTTCTTCTTGAGCGAGTTACATTAGTTATCTTGTTTAAAAAAAATAAGAATAGATACCGTCCTCGTTACAGAAATCGTTATAGTAAAATCATGGTTCATATAATAATTTTCATTAAAAAGCTGTTGCCGTTACCATAGGAACAGTTGACATAGCGCGCATCAAGACACGAGACCGCCTCGTTGCTCCAGAACAGACCAAACGGGCAGGACTTGATCTGGGGCTCGTAGGTGAAGGTCGTTGGCAGACACAGCACGTACTTCTCGCAGTCGGTGGGGAGAGGGTTGAACCCCACCCCACCCTCCACTAGACACTGCTGACACAGGGCTGATGGTACACATACAGGAATAAGTCAGAACATCGATATGGTGTAGTAATGCTTGAAATCAAATATGGTTAGCGTTTATCCCCATCTTGATAGTTTCTAAATAAAACTGTTTTAATAAAAACGACAAAAATATTAAGATAGTAAAATAGGACTTAACAACAATCATCATAATATCCCGAACCCAGTGGGGAACTTCTTTAAAATACTCTCTAATTGTTTAGCTTGTATTAAAATAAAGGTAAAATAAAACTTGTGATTGGTCGATGTCGTTATTATATTAGTCAAGCTTACAGAACTACAGAAAGTCCTAGAGTCCACCCAACTCTGTTGTAAAACTGACTCGGGGAAATTTGAAACAACTGGGCGTAGCAGCGGCTATACTGCCACTGTAGATGTACAGGTCGTACTAGCAGATAAACTTTCATTCGTATCCCATAAAAAATGATAGGAACTTCATGTTCAATACTTTTACATTATAAGCAGCTAAAATTGGTGTATGTTGCTCGTGTTCGGCCTTCATTAAAGCTGATTCTAAGAGCAGCTGCGACAAGGGTGTACATATATTTTGTCATGAGTTATTTTGTCTGAGATCATTTGTCCTGAGATATTTTGTCTTATATCATTTGTCATGGAACCATATAAACTTAACCAACCTGGTACGGGAGATCGTGTGGTTATCCCAGGTGTGGTTGTGTCTGGTGTGGCTGATGTGGTCAGCGTCGTGTTATCCAGGATAGCTGGGAACAAATCAAACAACAGTTTCTTTTCACTTTAAAGTTAAATTTAAAGATAATAATCTTTGTGGATTTCACGTAACCCAGAACGATAGTATATTTAAAAGTATACTTAAAATTTGAATAGGGAAAAAATAAAGCGTAGTTAGGAAAATATATCGGAAAGATTATTTCTTCCAACAAATGGCAGAGGTGTTGAGGTTTATTTTATTAATTTTATAATCATTTAAATTTTATAGTTGTATTGGTTTATAGATTTTTATACAGATTTTTATGTTTTATTTCAGAACAAGTACTATAACAGCTGTAACACATCACCTATAAAATGTTTACAATAGCATAATAAATGTTTTTGAATCAAATTAGCTGCAGTCCACCTATTATTAAAAACAATATTCTACCATAGCTTTTGCATTCTTCATATAAACAAACAACTATGTAGGCCTACACTTGTATACTAGACCCGTCATTATCATATCAACTGTTGCATTCTTCCTATACAAACTCTCAACACGAGTCAACACTTGCCTACTAGCCCAATCATCTCACCTGAACAAATGTTGTCCCCCTATACAACACCTGCCCACTAGCCCCACCATCTCACCTGAACAAATGTTGTCCCCCTATACAACACCTGCCCACTAGCCCCACCATCTCACCTGAACAAATGTTGTCCCCCTATACAACACCTGCCCACTAGCCCCACCATCTCACCTGAACAAATGTTGTCCCCCTATACAACACCTGCCCACCACCCCCACCATCTCACCTGAACAAATGTTGTCCCCCTATACAACACCAGCCCACTAGCCCCACATCATCTCACCTGAACAAATGTTGTCCCCCTATACAACACCAGCCCACTAGCCCCACATCATCTCACCTGAACAAATGTTGTCCCCCTATACAACACCTGCCCACTAGCCCCACCATCTCACCTGAACAAATGTTGTCCCCCTATACAATACCTGCCTACTAGCCCCACCATCTCACCTGAACAAATGTTGTCCCCCTATACAACACCTGCCCACTAGCCCCATCTCACCTGAACAAATGTTGTCCCCCTATACAACACCTGCCCACCACCCCCACCATCTCACCTGAACAAATGTTGTCCCCCTACCCCCCTATACAACACCTGCCCACTAGCCCCACCATCTCACCTGAACAAATGTTGTCCCCCTATACAACACCTGCCCACCACCCCCACCATCTCACCTGAACAAATGTTGTCCCCCTATACAACACCAGCCCACTAGCCCCACATCATCTCACCTGAACAAATGTTGTCCCCCCTACCCCCCTATACAATACCTGCCCACCAGCCCCACCATCTCACCTGAACAAATGTTGTCCCCCTATACAACACCTGCCCACTAGCCCTATCATCTCACCTGAACAAATGTTGTCCCCCTATACAACACCTGCCCACTAGCCCTATCATCTCACCTGAACAAATGTTGTCCCCCTATACAACACCTGCCCACTAGCCCCACCATCTCACCTTAACAAATGTTGTCCACCTATACAACACCTGCCCACTAGCCCCACCATCTCACCTTAACAAATGTTGTCCACCTATACAACACCTGCCCACTACCCCACCATCTCACCTGAACAAATGTTGTCCCCCACCCCCTATACAACACCTGCCCACCACCCCCACCATCTCACCTGAACAAATGTTGTCCACCTATACAACACCTGCCCACCACCCCCACCATCTCACCTGAACAAATGTTGTCCCCCTATACAACACCTGCCCACCACCCCCACCATCTCACCTTAACAAATGTTGTCCCCCTATACAACACCTGCCCACTAGCCCTACCATCTCACCTGAACAAATGTTGTCCCCCTATACAACACCTGCCCACTAGCCCCACCATCTCACCTGAACAAATGTTGTCCCCCTATACAACACCTGCCCACCACCCCACCATCTCACCTGAACAAATGTTGTCCCCCTATACAACACCTGCCCACAACCCCCACCATCTCACCTGAACAAATGTTGTCCCCCACCCCCTATACAACACCTGCCCACCACCCCCACCATCTCACCTTAACAAATGTTGTCCCCCTATACAACACCTGCCCACTAGCCCTACCATCTCACCTTAACAAATGTTGTCCCCCTATACAACACCTGCCCATTAGCCCCATCATCTCACCTGAACAAATGTTGTCCCCCACCCCCTATACAACACCTGCCCACCAGCCCCACCATCTCACCTGAACAAATGTTGTCCCCCTATACAACACCTGCCCACTAGCCCCACCATCTCACCTGAACAAATGTTGTCCCCCTATACAACACCTGCCCATTAGCCCCATCATCTCACCTGAAAAAATGTTGTCCCCCACCCCCTATACAACACCTGCCCACCAGCCCCACCATCTCACCTGAACAAATGTTGTCCCCCTATACAACACCTGCCCACTAGCCCTACCATCTCAACTGAACAAATGTTGTCCCCCTATACAACACCTGCCCACCACCCCCACCATCTCACCTGAACAAATGTTGTCCCCCTATACAACACCTGCCCACCAGCCCCACCATCTCACCTGAACAAATGTTGTCCCCCTATACAACACCTGCCCACTAGCCCCACCATCTCACCTTAACAAATGTTGTCCCCCTATACAACACCTGCCCACTACCCCACCATCTCACCTGAACAAATGTTGTCCCCCTATACAACACCTGCCCACCACCCCCACCATCTCACCTGAACAAATGTTGTCCCCCTATACAACACCTGCCCACTTGCCCCATCTCACCTGAACAAATGTTGTCCCCCTATACAACACCTGCCCACTAGCCCCACCATCTCACCTGAACAAATGTTGTCCACCTATACAACACCTGCCCACTAGCCCCACCATCTCACCTGAACAAATGTTGTCCCCCACCCCCTATACAACACCTGCCCACCAGCCCCACCATCTCACCTGAACAAATGTTGTCCACCTATACAACACCTGCCCACTACCCCACCATCTCACCTGAACAAATGTTGTCCACCTATACAACACCTGCCCATTAGCCCCATCATCTCACCTGAACAAATGTTGTCCCCCACCCCCTATACAACACCTGCCCACCAGCCCCACCATCTCACCTGAACAAATGTTGTCCCCCTATACAACACCTGCCCACTAGCCCCACCATCTCACCTGAACAAAGGTTGTCCCCCTATACAACACCTGCCCATTAGCCCCATCATCTCACCTGAACAAATGTTGTCCCCCACCCCCTATACAACACCTGCCCACCAGCCCCACCATCTCACCTGAACAAATGTTGTCCCCCTATACAACACCTGCCCACTAGCCCTACCATCTCACCTGAACAAATGTTGTCCCCCTATACAACACCTGCCCACCACCCCCACCATCTCACCTTAACAAATGTTGTCCCCCTATACAACACCTGCCCACTACCCCACCATCTCACCTGAACAAATGTTGTCCCCCTATACAACACCTGCCCACCACCCCCACCATCTCACCTGAACAAATGTTGTCCCCCTATACAACACCTGCCCACTTGCCCCATCTCACCTGAACAAATGTTGTCCCCCTATACAACACCTGCCCACTAGCCCCACCATCTCACCTGAACAAATGTTGTCCACCTATACAACACCTGCCCACTAGCCCCACCATCTCACCTGAACAAATGTTGTCCCCCACCCCCTATACAACACCTGCCCACCAGCCCCACCATCTCACCTGAACAAATGTTGTCCACCTATACAACACCTGCCCACTAGCCCCACCATCTCACCTGAACAAATGTTGTCCACCTATACAACACCTGCCCACCACCCCCACCATCTCACCTTAACAAATGTTGTCCCCCTATACAACACCTGCCCACCACCCCCACCATCTCACCTGAACAAATGTTGTCCCCCTATACAACACCTGCCCACCACCCCCACCATCTCACCTGAACAAATGTTGTCCCCCTATACAACACCTGCCCACCACCCCCACCATCTCACCTGAACAAATGTTGTCCCCCTATACAACACCTACCCACCACCCCCACCATCTCACCTGAACAAATGTTGTCCCCCTATACAACACCTGCCCACTAGCCCTACCATCTCACCTGAACAAATGTTGTCCCCCTATACAACACCTGCCCACTAGCCCTACCATCTCACCTGAACAAATGTTGTCCCCCTATACAACACCTGCCCACCACCCCCACCATCTCACCTGAACAAATGTTGTCCCCCTATACAACACCTACCCACCACCCCCACCATCTCACCTGAACAAATGTTGTCCCCCTATACAACACCTGCCCACTAGCCCCACCATCTCACCTGAACAAATGTTGTCCCCCCTACCCCCTATACAACACCTGCCCACCAGCCACATCATCTCACCTGAACAAATGTTGTCCCCCCTACCCCCCTATACAACACCTGCCCACCAGCCACATCATCTCACCTGAACAAATGTTGTCCCCCCTACCCCCCTATACAACACCTGCCCACCAGCCACATCATCTCACCTGAACAAATGTTGTCCCCCCTACCCCCCTATACAACACCTGCCCACCAGCCACATCATCTCACCTGAACAAATGTTGTCCCCCTATACAACACCTGCCCACTAGCCCCACCATCTCACCTGAACAAATGTTGTCCCTGAGCAGCTCTACCATCCCCACCAGGTACTTGAAGTCTGGGGCGTCAAACAAAGTCTGGGGGGATGTGGCCATGTCCTCGACTTCCTGTCTCAAGACGCGGTTCCCCACCCCCACCACAAATATTGTTATACCCTGAGAGAGAAAGAAACAATTATTTCAACAGTTCTGTCGTGACTATAGAAGAGAGGGATATTGTTACACCCTGATGGAGAAACAAACAATTATTTCCACATATATTTCAGGACTAGAGATGATAGAAAAAAATATTGTTATACCCTGATGGAGAAACAAACAAAAAAAGAAGCTATTATTTCAACAGTTCAGTTCTGACTAGAGACGAAAGAGAAAGTGTGTTATACGCTGCTAGAGAAACAAACATTTATTTCAACAGTTCTGTCCTTACTATTGACTGGAGAGCATATTTAAAAGCAAAGCTCGACTAATTGTTTTTTTTAAACTAGTTAAGTATTTAGTTTAGTCCTATTTACTACTGGTGGAGCAACCAGATCTATCCTTCATATCATGTTTTGCTGTTGTTGTTTTTTATATATATATTTTTTAATTGGCGCAAAAACAAAATCTAAATATATTATAATTCAAAGTACTTTTATCAACTTGGTGTTTATTATCCCCTCCCCCCTTGGAAAACACTATCATGAAAGCAACATTTTCTCATTTGGATATGACATTTTCATTTTTCTCGATTTGTTTTTTTTTTTTTTTTTTTTTTTTTTTTTTTTTTTTTTTTTTCTCGCAACTAGATGTATAACTATACACCATCACAAACTACTTTGCCTATTTTGAAACAATTTTAAGAGAAAAAAAACACTCTTTTCTCTTACCCCTAATTTCGCCATCGTTGCCTGGTCCCTCGTCTCAGAAGGATTTGAACTCATGCCGTCCGTGATGACGATGATGATGTGTGGGACCCGGGGCCGGGCCTGTGTGGCCAGCATCTCTCTGACGGTCTTCAGCCCCAGGGCGGTGTTGGTCCGCCCCACGGGGGGCTGGATCAGGTCTGACGCCGCCCTCTTAAGGTCTGCCTTGCCTGTGAGGATAACATACAGCGGATCTTGAATGTTCATATTCAGTACTCAGTTAATTCAGATAATTTAAATATATCATGTTTACTTGCCTGTTTTACCAATTCTTTACCAAGCAATTTATGGCTCGCCGTAATATGGGTTTATTAGGAAACGTTATGTTTTTTAATGAAAGGCAATTAGACCTAGAATGGCCGAGTCGGAAAAGCTCGTGGTTGCTAAACCGAAAAGCCTCTAGTTCGAGCCCTCGGGCAGATGAGGCTCGTTAGCTGGGGCAGCCACTCTTCTAGGAGAGACAACTCCAAAATCAAACAACTGCTGCCTTGAAGTTTGTTCCAAAGCAAATCCAAAAAGAAAAGCAGGCTGAAATCGGAGTTAATGCCTTCAATGGCGCATAACCAGTTGACACGTTTACTTAAATGTGTTGGAGGCAGCTGCGGCGCCAGATTATTTAGCGCCCTAGGCAAAACTTATTAAAACGCCCCCTTTCACACAAATTAATTACTAAAACATATGTATAAGAAAACAATTAATTAAAAGTGACATATTAATTTATTACCAAAAGCATACACGTTTATAAGTAGACATCAAAATCAAAATTTACTTTCCTCCTTCGTCTCAAAATTTGTACTCATTCCTTCAATTCCAGTTTGCAAGCGTAATCACATTTTATTGAAATTGTTGCTAAGTGCACTAGTCTACTTTGTACCCCCCACCCCTTAGAAAACGTTAAGTGCTTCCCTTCCACTCTCCCGGGAGAAAAAAGTCTGGAAAGAAAACACTGAATCAAAAAAAAGTGTTAGTAGTGTTGGGCTCTCTGCAGTCCTCCCAAGGTGAGTTCCAAAACGGAACTTTCCTGTTTTAAGCTTGACTGTCTTTAGTTATATTTGTAAAATGTCTGTATTGTGTGATTATGTAACGATTTTTCGGTTTTTGAAAAATAAAAGGTTATAAATAATATAGATTCAAGCCTAAAATTGTTATATATGAATCCTTTAGGAGAGGGTGAAAAATATGAAAAGACAATTAATTAGATGTTTAATTTACGACTAAGACTGTATGTCTACTAACATTAAGTATTGCAATCTGTAACTGCTACTGATGTATTTGTTTTTCAACTTGATAATGCTAAAAACACCTATCAAACTATTTTGTTTAGAACTTCTGCTCTATATAATTTTTGCAATAGCAATTAATAGCTTAAAGTTGGATTTATATGTAAGCTGTCAACCTAAGGTGCGGGAATTTGAAATGAATGTAAAGTTAAGCAACGAATTACCTCCCATTTAAAAATGCAAATACCAAAGGTTTATTCAAGGGAAATCACTTTTCACAAGAGTAGCTAAAACAACCAAGTGTAACTAAGACATGCTTGAAAAACACAATAAAACGCTCTAAATTTCATTACGTAATAATTATATTTAATATTTTATATTAGCTATGTAACCTTGTAAAAACAATATATTTTACTTATTGAATACTTAACTGTAGGTTTTGTATGAAAGTCTGAAAACGGTAGCTTTATTATAACATACTTCTAATCAGGTTCGATGACATTCATTTCACTGTGTGAAATGTTTCCTATCATGTTTAAAATTTTGGATCCCCTAAAAAAGGGACGCTTTCAAAAAATCAAAGACGGGTAACTGTTTTAGACATTGCTAGAATCATTGATTAAATATTATAGGAAATTATAATTTGAAATTACAAAATTTACGGCTAAGATATAAACTCAATCCTATCTAATATTATAAATTAATACTTTAACTAGCTGCATCCCGTGCTCCGCCACGGTAAATCTTTTTAAAATATACCAACTTTGGAACAGAACAAAACAAACAAAAACACAACACAAACAAAACACAACCACAACCACAACACAACCACATTACAACCACAACACAATCACAACACAACCACAACACAACCACAACACAACCACAACACAACCACAACACAACACACGGTAAATCTTTTTTAAATGTACCAAGTTGGGAACAGAACAAAACTAAATACAACACAAACGAACGCAAAGAAAAAACAAAAACGAAAAAACAAACACAACACAAACTCAATTTAAATGTAATCATAAAGGCATATTGCTCACAGTCTATCCCGTTGCGCCAAATCGCGCCCTTTCCGAGCGCCGGCGGAAAATTTCGATTTACACCCTCCCACCTCCCTCAAACTTTCGATTTCCACCCTCCCCCCCTCTTGCTACGCCTCTGTTATAAAACCCCTAGCTTTTCCGCAAATAAATTAAAGGCAGTATTTAGAATATCCGTGTTTTACCGACCATATTGCACTTTATAAATTTCTGCATTTTTTTCAGTACTTTTAAAAATTTACAATAAAGTTTCATGACTAAAACCATTGCGCACCTAATGAACGTGATGACTTAATATAGTAATGGAGAATAGTTGATTAAAAATTATAATTAGTAAACAGTACAATCAGTGAATAAAATAAATAAAAGATAGCCTTTTATCAATCAATGCTAATAATAATATTCCAACAATAATGTACTCTTACACGTCTGCATAATTTGCATTCACATTTTGCTAATTATATTATTCCAACAATTATTCCGTCTTGCAGATTTTGCATTCACATTTTTAGCGTGAGTTCAATTTATCTTTGAATTACCTCCATTGGCAAAATTACTAAGCAGTTTAATTAGATTTTTCTACCGTACTGTTATTATGTTAATATGTATCCACTCTTTCTGGGAATATTAACGAAAATGATATTTGACATTGATCCTTTTAATATGTTTTAGCAATGTGCGTGTATTTAATATTCTCTTTACGTTATGCAAAATTGTACAAACAATGGAAATTATAAAATAGCTCTATGCCGTTATATAAACAAACCCTACTCAATTACTTATAATAAGACACTGCGGTGCACTGAAAAGCACAGCATGGTGCGTAGTTTACTTTTATAGTCCCAAAATCTATAGCGATGACGGACGGAAGGACAGACACAGCCCGCTTATATTATAGATATAGATTCCTAAATATATAAATTCCATCCTATTTAATATTATAAATTAATACTTTAATATAGATTTTTCAACTAAATTTTTTTCTTTGTAGAGTTTTCCGTACTAAATTGAAATCATCTAACTTACGATAACTTCGAATACTCGATATACTCTACTACATTTACAACACATATCAAACCTCGATACCTTAACATAACTAGACTCGATGCTCCAGAACTACGTCACCAACTCATTTACTTCACCAAGCTCTACAAATGGTACTCCCAATCAACAACGATTTCACTGGACCTTCTACTACACTTTAACAGTCAATATAATTCGGTAGCTTAATACCACAAGAATCAATACTCCCGAACTCCAGAACTACGATACTTCATCACCTGCATTTTCATTTCTCTACTACCAGATTCCACTAGACCTTCAACCACACAACAGCCAAAAAAAAAATAATAAGACATTTTAACACTTCGATATTTTATACCTACGAAACTATATCAGCGACAGAGCTTCTTCTATACTTTTAACAGTGTCCGCCCCCCCCCCCCTAAGAAAGTCTACCGCCCCCTCGAAAATGTCAAGTGCCCCCCCCCCCCCCCCCGGAGAAAAAAGTCTGGAAGAAACACAAATCAGCAACAGCCTTCCGCCGTTACTGCCAAATCTAAACGAGTCATCAAAACTTACCAAACAAGTAAAATACTTTGAACACCCCGTCATAACAAAACTCTGTACACCAGGACAGATTTCTAATTTAAAGTCAGAGAAAACGAGACTTACAAGCCCTATTAAAATTAAATAACCGTTTTAAATGTTCGAAATTTAAATAACGAACTTATTTAATCGTTTTCTACATCAATTGTGTGACATCAAATTAAAAAGGAAAAGTGACTGGTAAAAAGCGACCCGATCTTTCCAAATTAGGGATGTGTGGTTTCATTTTCACCATCGCTAATTAAATATAGGCCTATATAGACCTTATTTTGGGATTGGGGTGCAAAATTGATAGTTCATCGTGAGTGCCGAAATAGATCGCTACTCCTTTATAAAAGTTATTAATTATTAGGTACCTTTTGGTAATAGCGATTAAACATGTTGCGCCCTTCTAGGGATGGCGCCCTAGGCGACCGCCTAGTTCGCCTTATAGGGCTAGTAAGTAGGTCACCAACCAGTTTTATGGCTCATGCAGGTTTTATTGAGCCGTAGAACTGGTTGGTGACCTACTTACCAGCCCTATAGGTAGCGCCGGTCCTGGTTGGAAGGGTTCGCTTCCAACACTAAAATTAAGAAGAAGAAGAAGACCTTGATTTTTTTTTAAATCAAATCCGTTGGAGAGAATCAGAGATTTTTTTACTGAATGTGTATGACGGTAAGAAAATGGTCACCAAATGCCCCAAAGTAGAAAAGCACCTTCAAATCTAAAATGCCCTTATAATACTAATTTAATTATACATGCATTTAAATTTAAAATTGCATATATGTATTGGCAATAATAGTTCTCCGCGAAGGAAACGAAAATGTGGATCTCGAATGCATGATTTATAATATCAATCATTTATGTTTTGGTTAACTTACTTCTGAACGGCGTAAGCGGAACTACGTCACCAAATTTAGTATTGCATATACGTATTGGCAATAATAGTTCTCCGCGAAGGAAACGAAATTGTGAATCTCGAATTCACCTTATCAACCATTTTGTTTTTGTTGACTTACTTCTGAACGGCGTAAGCGGAACTACGTCACCAAATTTAGTATTGCATATACCAGAGGTCGGCAACCTGCGGCTCGCGAGCCGCATGCGGCTCTTTTGATATCAAGATGCGGCTCTCCAGCTCCTTGAACAAACACTAATAATCTTAATAAAAAAATAAAATATTTGAAATAAAAAAAATGTTAGTGGCTCTTTAAAACCAGGGAAATTATGAAAATTGTAACTTTTGGCTCTTCCGCTTCAAAAGGTTGCCGACCCCTGGCATATACGTATTGGCAATAATAGTTCTTCGCGAAGGAAACGAAATTGTGGATCTCGAATTCACCTCATCAACCATTTTGTTTTTGTTTAATACACTCTGTTTACAGCATTAATCTTTTATCAACCATTTAGTTTTTGTTGACTTACTTCTGAACGGCGTGAGCGGAACTACGTCACCGATGTCGGAGCCGTAGACCACGATGCCCACGTGGATGGAGTCTGCCCCAATGTCGATGCTGTTGATGAGATAGGACACGAATTGCTTCCCTTTGATCCAGTCAGGGGCGGTAATGCTGTAGGACCCATCGATCAGGAATATGACGTCAGCAGGCTTGGAACAAGGGAACGCTAAAAACAAAAAAACAAAAATTTAGTAAACAAAAAGAGTAAACTCGGAATAAAAATGTGACAACTTCTACAGGATTGACATATGTCACATTTTTAGCGCAATTTCCATTCTGGAGAATTGCTTTTATTAACCCGTCATTTCTGGATGTATGAATGTATGAATGAATGGATGGATGTGTGTCCGCAGCTTTAAGTCGTATCTCCTCCCCAACGAAGCAATATCGAGGACTAGTTCCAAAAGCAATTATGTTAAGCAAGTTACGAGGATGAACATAGGCCAAAAAATTCCTCGAAAAAATGCAGTTTTTGGCCCATATCTCGGCAACCAGACCACTTAGCGACTTGAAACATGTACCAATCGATTCCTGCCATAATTTAGAACAATATTGCCGAAGAAAGTTTTCATAGTAGGCATTTTTATCCAACCACACCACACGCGTCATCACGTTCAATAGCTGCGCCATCACGTTCAATGGCTGCGACATCACGTTCGGTAGCTAGGCGCGCAATGGTTTTTAGTTATGTAACTCTATTGTAAATAAAACATGTAAAATACTGAAAAAAAAATTAATAAAAAACGTTTTAATAACTAACCAATGGTTTTACTAACCCTGCTCTTGATTTACGCTATTTTTAAATAACATAAGGAAATTGCGCTTAAATGTCACTAGACTTTTTAATTAACTTGTTTAAATAAATTTAGCAGTAACTTACGTGGTATGTAGGGACTGGTTGTCGGTTCTAGGGTTGTGGTGGTTGTTGGCGTTGTGGGCTCGCTGGTGGTCGTTGTCGGGATAACTGTTAAAAAACATTTTAATTTTTATGATCGATTACAGAAGGAAGTTCGCTAATAATAACTAGGTATTTAATTATATATTTCTATAGTATCATTTTAATCACTAAGTTAAACTTCCCCATTAATCACTATAAAAATTTTTACTTAAATAATTAAGTATTTAAATACATACATACACACATATACACACACATAGTCACACATTCATCATACTAACAGTACATACCTCAGTACATTTAAAATCATTTGAATCATCTCCTATCCACCTCAGAGTTTCTTCAATGCATCTCTTCGGCGGTGCCCCCCCCCCCCCCCCACAACGGAACGGAATTTCAATAGAAAATATATACTTTAACCATTGTCCGCCCCCTCCCCCACCCCGGAAAATTTAGTCCGCCCCACCCCACCCCCCATAAATATCAAGACCGAGCCCCCCCCCCCCCCCCGAGAAAAAATCTGAAAGAAACACTGATCCCCCTACACAAACTTAGCACTTATATAAAACCTCCGCATATTTAAACAACATTAACCCCCCATACCTAACCATACACACTTGTCGCCGTCACCTTCGTCTACAAACAATATAGTTCCTACACCCCAAATATACCACACCTCCCATCTATGTTACGACCCGCATGTTACATCAGACCCGCATGCGGTGCACTGCGGCTCTGTTATCCGTTGACCTACTTTCACAGATGAGGTCCTCTAGCTGTGTGACCACATTGTGCAGCTGACCAAAGTTCTGGACCCTGAACAACCGGTTCCTGTTGTCTATACCAGCGATAGCCTCCAGCTCTTCCTGGAAGGTTTCATTCCCCACACCCAGGGCGATCATCTCGATGTTGTACTGCGTCCTCGCCCGTATCGCTTCCTAGGGGAATAATACATCACAGCGTAATTTAATTAAGACCGATTCTAGCCGAAAAAAGATACGCAAGCCCCCGTTTCGCGGCGATGTTTTCGATGGTACTGCGCATGCGTGTATTTACAAACAAACCGCAGAACCCTAACCCTAATCCTTATCCTAACCTGAACCCTAATCCTAACCCTAGCGCAGCTATTAAGGTCAATGCGCATGCGCAGATCTATTGAGTTTCGTATCTTCTGCCGATTTTTTTTCCCCCAGTATTCACTACGTTTAATTAAACAATATGGGTAAATTTGTTGACGTTCCATCGATTAGTAAACAGCACTTTGTTTCACTTACATATAGGAGAATTGCTTTTGTACCTGTTTAAATTATACTCAATCAATTAAAAATAGGTCAATGATAATTACTAGGCTAAGGCGATAATGCATTATTCACCAAAATCACTGCTCGTCTATGTTTACAGATGTTTAAACAAAGAAAGGGGACAATCTTAAACAAAAGTAAAGGAATCATTGTGTTTGCTCATTGGTGCATTAGTAGCTTTTTGTATTACATAAACAAGTCATTAACAAAAGAAGGGCAGTATTTTAAAATACTAACAAAAACCAACTACAAATTTAAAATTCCTTTTTCATGTACAGATTGTTATACATTTTTAACAACAGACCAAGTGCAGCATTCTCTACACTCAATTTTTAGAAATTAGGGTCGAAGGTCAAATTTAGACCCATTCAAAAGAGCGAAACCATTTTAATTGATTAAGGGGACAACAAACGCAAAAATAAACTTAAATTTAACGCTTTCTGTCATATTTTCCAAAGAATTTTAAAAAATACAGTTACGCTTTAATAACCAGTTTTACCCAGGATTGTAATGTCTATTCCGGCCGCAGCCCCCCCCCCCCTCTCCCCATCCCCCTTACTCTTATAGTGGCCGAAACATCAGTAGATCTGCCGTCTGTGATGATGACAGCGATTTGTTTGGCGTCGCCTTCAATCCTACCCTGGCTGTCTGACATTTCTATCAGCTTGGAGATGGCTTTTGCTGTGTCGGTACCTGTGGGAGAGAGAAATTATGGCATATACACATGCTTACATATACATATATATATATATATATATATATATATATATATATATATATATATATATATATATATATATATATATATATATATATGTGTGTGTAAAGAGTAATGTAAAGAGTAATATATATATATATATATATATATATACATATATATATATATATATATATATATATATATATATATATATATATATATATATATATATATATATATATATATATATATATATATATATATATATATATATATTGCTCTGGATGATAGGTATAGGCCTACACATTAACGTTGCCTTTACTTTCAAGCTATTAACATAAAGAAATTTTCCTAAAAAACTGTGGTCATCCTCTTTATTTACCTTGGTTGATTTGCTCTGCTTGTTGTAGAAGACCCTTCAGCTGAGCTTTTGTTTTGAAAGGTTGAAGGTCAATCACCTGATAAAATAATTTACAAGAAAACACGAACATGTTATAAAATAGATCGACGATAAGACGTACTAAAACTTTCTAAAACAATTTAACAGCAAAGATTATCTACGATGGGATTAAATTTCATTTAATTAATAGTTAGCCAATAATTGCCGAAAATCTGGCTCATGTTTATATGATTTTAAGTAACTAGTTGCCAAAATAGTAGTCAAGTTCTTATTTTGATCAGGAACAGATCTAACTTTCTATTGTCATTCGGCAACATAAGTCACCATCCCATTTAAACCTCACACCGTCAACTCACCATCTAAACCTGCACCATCACCATCCCATCTAAAGCCTACACCATCAACTCACCATCTAAAGCCTGTACCATCAACTCACCATCTAAACCTCGCACCATCAACTCACCATCTAAAGACTACACCATCCCCTCTAAATCTCGCACCATCAACTCACCATCTAAAGCCTGTACCATCAACTCTAAACCTCGCACCATCAACTCACCATCTAAAGACTACACCATCCCCTCTAAACCTCGCACCATCAACTCACCATCTAAAGACTACACCATCCCCTCTAAACCTCGCACCATCAACTCACCATCTAAAGACTACACGATCCCCTCTAAACCTCGCACCATCAACTCACCATCTAAAGACTACACCATCCCCTCTAAACCTCGCACCATCAACTCACCATCTAAAGACTACACCATCCCCTCTAAACCTCGCACCATCAACTCACCATCTAAATCCTGTACCATCCCCTCTAAAGCCTGTGCCATCAACTCACCATGCCCTCTAAACCTCGTACCATCAACTCACCATCTAAGACTCACACCATCTACTCACCATGCCCTCTAAACCTCGTACCATCAACTCACCATCTAAGACTCACACCATCAACTCACCATGCCAATATCCGTGCTGTAGACAATAACACCGACATGGATGGCGTACCGCTCGACGTGCAGGTTGTCTATCAAGACGCTGACGAAGTTCTTCTCCTGCTCCCACTCCGTGTCTTTGATGCTATCTGACGCGTCCATCAGGAACACTACGTCTGCCGGCACGTCACATCTTTTCTCTGACGACAAAAACATTGCTCGTATCTAACGGTTCCACTACAGGTACCAAATTTATTTATGTAGCTATGGTCTTTCTTTTTCATAATACAGTTGCATTTTAATATATTAAGCCGGCACGTCACATCTCTTCTCTGACAAAAAAAGCTTTGCTCATATCTTATGGTTCCACTTCAGGTACCTAATTTTTTTTAATGTAGTTAAGTCCTGGCCTCTCTTTTGCATAATACAGTTGGATTTCAATATATTATACGGCTGTTTACTGACTTGTCGAAATTAACTTGAAATAATTTTCTTGGGGATTTTTTTTGTATCCACGATAATTGTTTTACTTTGAGAAAAAATTGTATTTTGTCCCAAATAATATAGGATTTAAACTAAATATTTTTTAAGCTACACTAATGTGAAACAACTATGCGTACTGTAGATTAGGGACAACTATAATAGACTTCACGTCTTTTTCTGACGAGTTTTACCATCTCTCTCCACACAACGACGCGTCGTTACAAAAAGCCAAGCACATCCCCTAAAAGGACGCCATACTTCAGCTTACAACCTCCCTTTAAAATTGCTGTTTAATTATTTTTTTAAACATCGATCTCTTTCTAAAATATTGACAGGGCTCCGTCATTATGGAATATATTAATACATTTAATATAATTTACAAAAACTGTTTTCTTAAACGTGAAATAATGGTTCAATTCGATTTCTAGCATTACGTGTTTTAAATGAAAAAGTATGACGTCACACAACCCTCCCACCCCCTCTACTCTTCACACATCGTCACAAAATTATGTATAACATTCCCCCCCCCCTCCCCACTTCCTACTGTGTATGTGACGTCATTTATGAACGACACCTTAAACTGATAATGGATTGCTTCCACTGAATAATGTTACTAAATATGCTAAAGTTCTGTACCAATTTAACTTTTTCAACGAAAATAAATAACATGACATAACAGTACCGATATGTCAAAGAGGACGGACTCTTATTTAGTTCATGATGACACTATGGTAGCTCTTCACTCTACCTGTGTAAGTACTACAACTTCATCCACATAAAAAGTACTACAACTTCATCCGCGTAAAAAGTACTACAACTTCATCCACATAAAAGTACTACAACTACATCCACATAAAAGTACTACAACTTCATCCACATAAAAAGTACTACAACTTCATCCACATAAAAGTACTACAACTTCATCCACATAAAAGTACTACAACTTCATCCACATAAAAGTACTACAACTTCATCCACATAAAAGTACTACAACTTCATCCACATAAAAGTACTACAACTTCATCCACATAAAAGTACTACAACTTCATCCACATAAAAGTACTACAACTTCATCCACATAAAAGTACTACAACTTCATCCACATAAAAGTACTACAACTTCATCCGCGTAAAAAGTACTACAACTTCATCCGCGTAAAAAGTACTACAACTTCATCCACATAAAAGTACTACAACTTCATCCACATAAAAGTACTACAACTTCATCCACATAAAAGTACTACAACTTCATCCACATAAAAGTACTACAACTTCACCCGCGTAAAAAGTACTACAACTTCATCCGCGTAAAAAGTACTACAACTTCATCCGCGTAAAAAGTACTACAACTTCATCCACATAAAAGAACTACAACTTCATCCACATAAAAGTACTACAACTTCATCCACATAAAAGTATTACAACTTCATCCGCGTAAAAAGTACTACAACTTCATCCGCGTAAAAAGTACTACAACTTCATCCGCGTAAAAAGTACTACAACTTCATCCACATAAAAGTACTACAACTTCATCCACATAAAAGTACTACAACTTCATCTACATAAAAGTACTACAACTTCATCCACATAAAAGTACTACAACTTCATCCGCGTAAAAAGTACTACAACTTCATCCGCGTAAAAAGTACTACAACTTCATCCGCGTAAAAAGTACTACAACTTCATCCACATAAAAGTACTACAACTTCAACCACATAAAAGTACTACAACTTCATCCACATAAAAGTACTACAACTTCATCCACATAAAAGTACTACAACTTCATCCGCGTAAAAAGTACTACAACTTCATCCGCGTAAAAAGTACTACAACTTCATCCGCGTAAAAAGTACTACAACTTCATACACATAAAAGTACTACAACTTCATCCACATAAAAGTACTACAACTTTATCCACATAAAAGTACTACAACTTCATCCGCGTAAAAAGTACTACAACTTCATCCGCGTAAAAAGTACTACAACTTCATCCGCGTAAAAAGTACTACAACTTCATCCGCGTAAAAAGTACTACAACTTCATCCGCGTAAAAAGTACTACAACTTCATCCACATAAAAGTACTACAACTTCATCCACATAAAAGTACTACAACTTCATCCACATAAAAGTACTACAACTTCATCCATATAAAAGTACTACAACTTCATCCACATAAAAGTACTACAACTTCATCCACATAAAAGTACTACAACTTCATCAACGTCAACGTGTTTGCATGTACTTAAGTCAGTAATGACTCAATAGTAGCTATGACTACCTGTACTCTATATCCTAGCAAACACAATTCTTCTTTTTTTATTTAGGAAAATCATTTACCCTAGATCTTTGTTTCGAATTTTATTTTACTTATTCTTTGAGTATCTTTAATGATCCTCTTCTCTAGAGATGTTTCTATTGTTAGTATGGAACTGCATGGTCGGATGTTAGAGCGTGCGACTGCTAACCCGAATGTCTCGAGTTCGAATCCCTGGTTTGTTTCAGTAGAAAGTCCCTGAGTCCACACATCTCTAATGAGTACCTGTTACACGTTAGGGAATGTCATAGTGCTGACCACTTTCCCTTCATGGACAGTCAGGGTAATTTACTTGCTAATTAAAAGACAGTGTCTAAAACATAGGTAGATTTCTTACCTTGGGCGAACGCCTGGGCCACAAATATTATGAAAATTAATGTCCATGTAGCTCGTAATTCAAACATTTTAAAACGGTTATCCATACCTCTCCGTGGATGACTTAAACAGCTTAAAAAGTGAATTCAGAAATCGTTACAAGATCGACCGGGTTTAAATATAATTTAAACTAGATTAATATAAGCTACTCCGTTTCACGATTCTTCATTGTTTCTCGGGACTGTGTAACACTTCTAACTTTATAAATGGTCTTCTGATATCGACACGACAAAAGCTTCACTCACTAAACCTGCTGCTAAAGAATTTGCTCCATTTTCTTTTTTTCACAGAGTTTTAAAAAAATGCCTGGAGTTGTTGTTTTTTTTTTATTCGATGTTTTTGTTCTTTCCACTTGATCTTTTCTAAAGGGATCTCATCAGAGGCGTAGCGAGGGGGGGGGGACATATGTCCCCGGGCGCCGACCTTACGGGGGCGCCAAAATGGTTTGGAAAGACAAATTGAAAATTTGAGGGGGTGCAAATGAAAAGTTCGAGGGGGGGGGGGGTGCAAATCAAAAGTTTGAGGGGGGTGCAAATAAAAAGTTCGATGGGGGGGGGGGGGTGTAAATCGAAAGTTTGTCCCCGGGCGCCGGGAAGGGTCGCTACGCCTCTGGATCTCATTTCGACTTCTACAACCTACAAATATTTTTAAAATATTTTTAAAAATCTGTCATGTAGATAAAGAATTTTTTTTTCAGAAATGTAGATATATGTAATTTAAGAAATATTACTAGAATTCACACAACAGAATTTCAAACAAGCATTTTAAGATGGAACCGTTTAGGGGGCTGGTGGTAGACTCTAAAAACTCTGTCAGTGAATTGAATTGCTTGGAAAAAGTGTTCATTTACTTTCGCTTCATAGGTAACAATAAGGTAACGGCCTCTCTGGAGAAAAATTGTTTGAAAGAAACCAGAAACACTAATTAGAATTTTTTTTTAAAAAAACAAGAAAATAAATGAAAATACTTATTGTTCTAACACCTCTTTATTTGTGTTTGAATTTTATTTAACCTTCATATCTGCGGTCGTGTTTTTTAAAGATTACCCCCAGCTTACAAAATATGAGAACCGTCTGGTTTGTTAATCCAGCAGGCGGCTAGTATCACGTGACTCGTCTGGACAATCGTGACCCAGAGATCGTGAGACTACCTGGACTACAGACACACGAACGTCAGGCAGAGTTGGACTCTAGGAACAAGTTCTGCCGCCTCAAGTAGTGGAAGATTGAGGGGCGGGGGAATAGGGACTGATAGGACAGTTGTAGTTGTGAGGTGGGGGGGCAGTGGGTCATGTTGGAGGTCTAATTGTTGTTTTTTTTTCTAACATGTGCGGAATTTTTTTTTTTATCATGCGGTGTTTTTTTTCCATTAAGTGCGAGATTCATTTGCGTATAAATTTAAATGAATGCTAATAAACCGGGAGTGATCTGCCCTAAACTTTCTCGAATATTCTTATATAACTCGGAATATAGACATGATTTTAATTACTTAAACTTTTAAAAAATAGAATAGAATCTCGTAGAAAAAAGAATTGCGCACCAAGCGAACGCCAAAACAAAATGTGCATAATAGTGCGGAATATTATTAGTACTTTATAAAATTACATGCGTTTTTTGAGAAATCGGAAATGGCGCAAATTACTACTTACGGTCAACGAAAATTACTCAAAATTTGATAGAAGGCAGAAAATTAGATGTTATACTAACATGTGAAATTTAGGGGAGATCACTCCCGGTTTATTTAACAAAAGTTTTATGTCAAAGAATACACAACAATAATAACAAAGAGCTTAATAAGGCGAAGGAATGTTTGACTTGTGTTAAGATGTGTGACAGTGGTAGTTTTTCGCACTTTTAAGAAATATTTCGACCTTATGTTTTAAATGATAAAATGGTTAGGGCTAAGGAAATGAAATGTATAGCAAGGGTGTGGAGGGGGGGGGGGGGGTGGACGATTCAGCAAAGTAGAGATTGGGTACACAAATGTGTCAAATGGTATGACGTCATTGTTTGAACACAATGAGGGTTATATCATTGGAGGGCGTGGTCGAATTGTAGTGCGTTTGCTGCTAGCCACAAGGGTTCCTGACTTACGTTGGGGAAATAAAATTTGCTGGGCATAGGGCTGACCACACTATTTCTTCATATGCTTATGGACTCTACTTCAGCTGCCCAATAGATCATAAGTCTAAAGTGGAATCTTTACTTTTTTCTTTATTATTTTATATAATATAAATATCGTGGTTCAATAAGTTCAATCAATTTTACCTAGTTTAGTTTTAACCCGTGTATCAATCTGTTTACATGTAAATTACACTTTAGTTTAGCGTCAACACAGGTCACGTGACGTTGTAGACCAACACAAGTCACGTGATGTTCTAGACAGGTTCTTCTGGCTTGACCAGTGGGGACAAATGACACGTTCTGTTGCTATTTTTAGACTCACATGCGCAAAGTTTATATCGTGTTTATCTGTTTCTACAATATACATACAAGACCAATACATTACAATAAGTAACATTTCAATATGGTCATTGCGCCGGCATCTATACAAGTAAGATATATACGACAGTACAGGCCTACAACGTTTCAACAACCAGAGCTTCTTCCAGACATCTCTTCGCCCCCTCCCCTTCCCCCTCCCCCCGGAGAAAGTCTACCGCCCCCCCCCCCCCCCCCCCCTCCTGAACGAAATAGAATTTATAAAGAAAATATATACTTTTAACAGTGTCCGCCACCCAGAAAATTTTAGTCCGCCCCCCCGAAAATTTCAAGTGCCCCCCCCCCCTTCGGAGAAAAAAAAACTCTGGCAGAAACACTGTCGTCAACAACATACAGCAGTGTTTGAAATAAGGTAAACCTAACTCATTATCTTTTCACGTTAAGAACCAAGAACAGATGAGGAAGTGTTAGATTACCTAGGCACACAGGGGAGGAGGATAGTGTGGTCATCTGCCTACGTTTCAGTGACGTGAGTCAGGTACCCATTAGAGCTGGATGCACTCAGGGATGTCCTATGGGCTAGAGCCCGGATCTGAACTCGAGACTTTTAGGTTAGAAGTCGTGAGCTCTACCATCCGACTACACATATGAGTTAAAAACACTTACTGCTATACTGTTTTAACCATAGTTCTAAAAAGACAAATATTGCATAACGTGAATGTTAACAACATACGACTGATTACTATGGGGATATGCCTAAGAGAAAAAATGATGACAGTGTATCTGAGAGCTAATGCTTAAGCCCTACCATAGAAAGAGGTTAAGGAGTAGGTTCTCTTCTGGTTTATTTTTCTCATACAAATATCAGTGTTCTTCATTTCAAAATAGGCCCGAAATGTTCATATTTTTGTGCAATCTAGTTAAATCACAGGGGCTTCACTAGTTCGGTAAATCAGTAACACCGCCTCTGATGAGACTACACCACCACCTTATTACACTCGGGGTAAAATTAGAAAAACAAAATGTCAAACTCAATACAAAAACTAGTTTTGTTTTATGCTTTATTTAAAACCAACTGTGTGACTAACTATCACTTAAGAGCCAAGACTAGTTTACAATTCCCACTATATATTAATTATAGTAGACATATTTTTTTAATAACTTTTTTTTTTTTGTAAATTAAAATTATCAATATTTTAAGACTAGTTTACCATTATAGTAGACATTTTTAAACAATTTTTTTTGTGAATTAAAATTATGAATATTTTAAGACTAGTTTACAATTATAGTGGACATTTTTAAATAGCTTTTTTTGTGAATTAAAATTATCAATATTTTAAGACTAGTTTACAATTATAGTAGACATTTTTAAATAAATTTTTTTGTGAATTAAAATTATCAATATTTTTAAAGAAATAACCAAAAGGCAGGGAACTTGGTCTCCACAACTAGTTAAGCAATTATTTTGATTTAGTACAATATTTTTTAGATTATATTTTAACAACATAAAAATAACAAAACAGCAAAAGAAAAAAAAGAAAAATATTACTTTTTCATACAAATGTTTATTTAAAATGATACTTCAGATTTAATTTAAGGATCAAAGATAAAGCATATTACATCAAACGGAAGGACTTAATTAAACTTAGTGAAACAAACTCTCTAAACAAAAGTGTGTTGATTCAATTGTTGGAAATGTATAACAAATCCTAGCATTCTTATCTTTTTTTCCTTTAAAATAAAAACATAGACCTAATCAATAAAATAATGAACAAAACAAATACCAAATTCACTGATTATTGCACAGTGGGAGAGTGATCAAAGGATTTCATTGCAATATATTACAAATCTTCTTGTCTTTTTATCATTATAACTAGGCCTATGTTATTGTCAATAATGTTTTAGCATTCTAAAAAAATACTGACACTACAAGTGTTTAAATACATTTTAACAGTAGACTATTATTCCTACTGTTTTCTGTGTAAAGACATATTTAAATAATATGAAGAGCCTACAACTAAATGTAGCCATATTTAATACCCAGATTTTCTAAATTGTTTTAGTATAGAAATGCTTAGACTTAGTACAATTGGATGTTCTTAATGTATAGTACTATTTTGTAGAGTACTAATGTATGTCCTATTTTAAGCATTGGTATTTAATTTTTTTTTTCTATTTATAAGATAGGAAGGGTTTTTGAAATCAAAAGTTTACTTGAATATTGAGCAAGGACTAGAGGGATGAAACCAAGGTTTAAAAAATTTTAAACTGCTTAGACTGAGATAACTTGTCAACCAGCAAGTTCACAAGGAAAGCCTTAGAGACAAAACATAAGGCCTAACTTTCATGCTACAAAGGAAATGATGCTCAAATCTAATTAAAATAATACCCCCCCCCCTAACTTTACTAAACTATTTTACATAAATATAATTTTTGCCAACAAATATAAAAAAAATCCATGTTTCTTATTGTCTTCTCTGACTAGCTTAAATCTTGTGTATTTACCCCCTCCCTCCCCACCCCCTCCCTCCCCAACCCCCCAGTCCTGACATACACACCCCACTTATTTACTTGATGTGGATTCCTATAAATATCCAATGTTATAAAGTGTACATTGTATTCATATTTGAAACAAAGTTAACCGTAGTAAAATTGTTTACTTAAACTGTCTAGCATCAATAAAAAAAGGTACTATTTTTTTTTTGTTGAAATGTTTTAAAGCTTAGAGATTAGACAGTAGTTTAACAGTCATTCACATGTGCCAGTGTAGGCAAGGCCAAGTTGAGAGTACAAAGCAATCAATAACACACGTGTGATGTGGTAGAACAATGCAATCGATAGTACAAAAATAAATGTGGCAAAACAAAGCAATCAACAATAGTGAGAGTAGCAGTCATTGAGCAGATGAACAAAAATATTTCCACAAGTTTGATAATTTTTTATACAAGCCATGGATGAATTAGAAGAAAACTTAAGCAAGCTATATAAAAATGCTTCTAAAATTTCTAGTACATTATTAAAACTTCTCATTCTAAACACTAAACTTAAATTTTCTATTAGATTAATATATAATTTCTCATTCGCATCATTAAAAATTTCTGCTAGATTTATTAACTTTTAAGAAAATAACAGTACTTAATATCATCATTTTTTTCAAAGACAATACAGGAGATTTTGTATCAAGTTACCCTTTTAAACCTGATGATTCACTTAGCAGATGAAGTAGAGTTAATCTGTTTATAACCATGGCCAATGAATAAATAGTGTGATTAGCGTTGTCTTGCTAAATTTACTGTCCCTTACATGAGTCAGGTTCTCATTAGAGCTGATAGGACACAGGGACATCCTTCAACTTCAAGTCCAAGATTTGAACTCAAGACTTTCAGGTTAGCAGTCAAGTGCTCTACCACCTGGCCACACCATCCCATTCAGATAATCCTTGTTTAAATAGTTTTTACTGCTGGATTAGTCCTACCCTTAGGACAAACAGATAAGTGTTTGTGAATAAAGGCTGACTACAGACCTTTAAGAAGCCAACTCCTTCAAAATTAGATTTGTTGCCAAATAGCTGCAATCTTTTTAAAATTATCATTAGCTTAAAGTGTTACTTCATCAAATATTCAAGTTTTTATTTTAATTCATTCACTTCTATTTCATCACATGCAACATACAGACACTATTTATTTGTATGATTATTGTAGTAAACATAAATAGCTTATGTTAGAACAAAGGGGAATATAAGTAACTCTTACCATAAAAAAATATCTTAAAAACAGAGTTATGTCCCATCTGTTAAATAAAAAAAAAACATTAACTTTAACACTCATGAAAGCAGAAAACAAGTTGTACATTGTTTAAATGATCATGTGAGGCTAAATGTTCTTGTGCTGTTTACATTTTCAAAAGTCAGCTACAATAAAATTACATTTAACATGATAAATGACATCCCCTTCATTTACTTTATGACATTATAAATATGGACATTAAGAAGACAATATAATAATAGACATGATGAAAGCATTCAGTGATTGATCAACTTTAACACATGTAAAAAAAGCAAGAAACAACTAAGCAACCCATTTAAATATCGATTAAAAAATAGATTGGGCATTAAAAAAAATTTCTAAATTTACACACACACACAAAATAAAAAATAACTCCTAAGTTTTTACTAAGCAAGTAAGGAATAATTAATTCTTCGGCAAGTGGTTTGTCAACTAATGACTGAAAAATCAAGTTGATATGCTTACAACAACAAAAACATTTAACAACATGCAAAACAAATCATCAATGCATAATAGTTTGGTGGTGTGTATGTTAGAAGCTGTTATATACTGAATAAAACAACTTCTCTATGCTGGATAATACAAATCTCCTTATCACATGATTCTATATATGTACATCAATGGACATCACAAAGTGGATTGGAATGAAATTCAAGGACAGAAATTACTACAGGCAAAAATAAAAATTAGAATTTGACACGACATACAAAATCTTAATCAAATCAGGCATTAAACGAATGATTTACTTCCCTTTATATAAGACAAAATTTGCATCAGTATGTTAAATCTGTATAATTTTTTTATAATCATTTTAAATATCTTAAAATTTTGATTGGAACTTGCATTGATTTTCTGTAGCATAGATAGCCTAATGCATAATTTTCTGACTTGTGTATATTTTTCTGTGGCATCTCTACAATTTATGTAAATTAATAATCTCAAAATTCAATAAGTAAATGAAAGCAGTAAAAGCAATGAAATTAATACACATCTAAAAATGATATGTTATCCTTATAATTGTGCAAGCCTTATCTATGAGACTGTACTGTAAAAATAACTCCATAAGATATGTCACCAAGTTGAAGTATCAAACAAGGAAGAAGTTTATTTGAAAAGTCATTTTAAAGTACAATTTCCTTATCTGAAACAAAGATTCTGTAATATTAGTAGAAAATTTTTCTTTAAGTTTATTACAGATTTTAATGACAATTTTAAAAAAAGAAATAAAGTTTGATGTAACATTTAAGCTCAAGTTTACACCTCAAAACATCCCATCTTGTAGACAAAAAGATAATTTGATTTTTAAAAACCAACAAAATAATTCAAAAAGAGAAAAATCTCTAATTTTTCTTTCTTTTAGTCTAATTCCAGTACACAGTTCTCCCTGTAAAATGTACTTTAAATAATTAATTCTAAAATTTTAAAAATCCTGTTCATTATGCTGTTTATAAATGGAGGTAGGACAAATTATTATGATATAGGAAGAATTTTAAATGCTTTACTTAACTTAATTACTGTCTTGTAAACTGGTTTAGAAAGAAAAATATAACATAAAAGATGTCTGTTTACACTACTAAAACAAGTTCAATAAATCAATACATTTCATGTTAATTAATAACCAATCATTTGATTTTTCTCCATGTAGTTCACACAACTTGGGTAGAAAAACAGACTATAAAATTTATTTTTATAGACATTCAATTAAAGCATTTAAATTAAAGCAAATATTTAAAAAAATGTTTTTTATCTTCATGAAAGAACTAAACTCGTTTAAAATCATTTTAAATAAACAGAATTTACAAAGGGTGAAATTGTCATTAATGTTACGATAAACTTTTTAAAATGTATAATTTAAAGATATACAAAAATGCATTAATTAAGGTGTATAATTAAATTAATTTTTTTTTCATTTAACAAAATTAACAACAAAAAACTTTTTAAACAGATGTTTCTCATATTACAGTCAAGTAAGATCCAATCATAATGTGAAGCTGTTACAGGAACCATCAACACAGCACACATCTCCATATGGCAGTGATCTCTAGAGGAAAGAAACACAGAAACCTGATACAAAGCCCAGCTGTTCAATCTATGGGTCATCTAGTAATGGGTCATACATAGGCTGGTCATCCATCGATTAGTCATCTGTCATCCATCAAAAGGTCAACCATCAAAAGGTCAACCATCAATGGGTCATCCATTATTAAGTGAAACATTGACTGGTCATCCATTAATGGGTCATCCATGAATGGGTCATCCATTAATGGGTCATCCATTAATGGGTCATCCATCCATGGGTCATCCATTAATGGGTCATCCATCCATGGGTCATCCATCAATGGGTCATCCATCAATGGGTCATCCATCAATGGGTCATCCATGAATGGGTCATCCATTAATGGGTCATCCATTAATGGGTCATCCATCATTGCATCATCCATTAATGGGTCATCCATCACTGCATCCATCAATTGGATACCTCAATGTGTCATCCATCAACAGGTCATCCACCAATCGGTCATCTCTCACAGCCTATACACAGAGCTGTCTGTCCTGGGATGTAGTTCCTGCAGGGGCACAGACGACGCAGGGAGTCCATGCTGCCCACGCAGCTGAACAGCAGAGGCTCGTCCTGTATGGTGCAGACCCCGCTGTTGGTGTCAAAAGCTGGGTAGTAAATGTTGGAGGAGTGGGCCAGGGACAGGCAGTCTGTCATGTTGTTCAGTGCCTCGTATGAGTTGAGTTCAGAGAAGTACACAGGTTCACAGATTCGATCTGAAATAAATATGGATGAAAATTAATGATGAAAAAAAAAGTTAATTAAGTAGAATGGGAATGTGAGATTTGAAAAAAAAATTAAATTTTAGATCTGTAATAAATATAATAAAAACATTTTTTTTTAATTAAAAAGAGAGATTAGGACAGAGTTAAGTGATAACAACTGTAACATGGGGAATAATTAAATTTGAAGACCTGTAAACTAAGATTAACTCTATTTATAATACATTTTATGAATGGTGTTTAGAGCTTAAATATTACTAAATAGAATTTGTTTTATTTTTACATTGGTGATTATATTATTATTTATTTACGTAAAATATTTGAATTAAACAAGTAGCATTTTTTTTAAAGTTTGTTCTGGTATAGTTTTCCTACTGTAAAAATGTTCTAATTATCCTGAAATATCAACAGGAGTTATCTAACCTACTAATGTACCACAAGAGTTGTCTAACTTACTGATGGACCAGCACGAATCCTTGCAAGATTTCCCAGGCTCAGCCAGCACATACTGCAAGGCTTCTCTAGGCGGCCACTTGACCTGGCCACGTTGGAATGAGCAGAAATTCTGATTCTGGATGTAAGCGTTCATACGCTGCAACATGCCCTCCTCTGTGTATTCATTCGGCAAGTAGGACAAGAACTGGTGGGATTAAATACATTGAAACAATTATTTTCAGCAAAATTAAAGAGTTCTGATCTGATCAGTAAAGTTATTGTAATAAATTTTCAATTAAACTTGCTTCAGTATAAAAGTAACAGTAAAAGAAAAAAATTTAAAAGTAAAAAATTAAAAGTAAAAAGTAACAAAAGTAACAAAAGTAAAAAAAAAAGTAAAAGAGTAAAAAAAAAAAATTTTAATTTAAAAAATTAAAATAAAAAATTACCAAAAAAAAAAGTAAAAATAAAAACGTTAAAGTAAAAAATAGAAAAAATACATGTAATAGGAAAAAGGTAACATAAAATTTACCTTATTGTTGTTCAAGATTTTCTCCAGTACTGCCTGGACTTCGTTCGTGTTGTTGACATCTAGTGTGTACACGTACGGCTCACCTATAAAAGTATCTGCGTACGGGTGCTGAGAAGCTACCTGTAGGGTCAGAGAAACAGATCAACATGTCGGGTGGTGTGGTTGAGCACACAATAATTCACCCAAAGGTCTAGGGTTCAAATCATGGGCTCCATAGGATTTCACTGGAACTCAATTTGGGGAATGTAAAAATAGCTAGGAATAGTACTGACAGATAATATATCCCTTCATATACAGAGATTTAAGAAAGATGAACTCTATTTCATTATCAAATGGGCCTTTGATCCTGATAGGAAATTTCATTTCCAACTGATGAAAGTAACGAGATATAATTAGAATAAGTATTGACGTTTTTCGTTTTTTTGCTATTATACACTTATAGAGATTAGTTTATACTTTTAGTTTAAAAAACAAAAGCTAAAAATCAGTTTCATTTAGCATTAGCTATGTTGTAAGTGTACAAACTACAGCTGTTGCTTGTATTTAAAGATGTTCTATTATTTCCATAGTATAAGGTTTTTGTATTCCTTATTAGTAAAACAAGAATGTAAAGTATAATAGAAATACTTAGTGTTGTTTTGAAAAGGTATATAAAGGATCATCTACTCTAATCTAATTTAAGTTGAGCCTCTTACATTTGATGAAAAGACATTTTTTCATCAATAACTACCTTTCTGTGCTCAACTTTTTGACACAGTTAAAACTAATTTGTTTTCATCAAAATGATTAATGATAGACCAGAATACCATTGGGAGGTTGCAAGCAATGGTCATACAAACCTCTTTAATAAGGTTGCAAGAAATGGTCATATAAACCTCTATTATGAGGGTTGTAAAAATGGTCATCCAAACCTTTTTTATGAAGCTTTCAAGAAATGATAGTGCAAACCTGTGTTATGGAGGTTGCAATAAATGTCAGAACAAACCTCTCTATGTGTTGGCTTCCCTTTAAAAAACTTGTGGTTCTTGCTGCTGTGTGGAGGGTCAAACTTTGGGTTCAGGAACACAGCGCCATTGGCTATGGCCTCTAGTGGTGCTGGACCTTCATATGGGAAACCAAGGCCCACAAAAACCTGAAATAAATCACATAATAATTGTCATTTATTTCAACTTTTTCAATAATATAAAGAGCTTTAATTCTTTCTTTCCTCATTACATGTAAAGCGATCAGTGTGTAAATACAACTGAGGGATATTTTTAACAATTTTAGAATAAAATTATATTATAGATAAAAGCATAAGAGAAGAAATGTTAATACTAAGTATAAATAGCTCTTTTGAAAGGGATCTTTTCAGAGGCGTAGCGACCCTTTCCGGCGCCCGGGGCGAACTTTCAGTTTGGTGCCCCCCCCCCATATATTATATATATATATATATATATATATATATATATATATATATATATATATATATATATATATATATATATATATATATATATATATATATATATATATATATATATATATATATATATATATGCGTGTGTGTTTGTGTGTGCGACAGTCTGGGAAAAAATTAACAATTACGATGATTGTCGTTCCCTAAAACTTCACTGGACGCCAATTAATTCCCCTTAAGATGCCGAAACGAATAAAAAGTATAAAATCAAAAGAGCTTACAACAGATGTTCGGTAATTCAGTCTCAGGGCTTCCGCGGAGGTCAAGACACACAGCCGACTCATAGGATTCACGATCGGATTTTGTCATTGTGGACGATACAACTATTAAGGAGGGTTCGGTGATTGCGCATAAGAAACTGGTGGGGTTTGGTACTCCAAAAAGTTAAGAACCACTGCTTTAGAGTGTATTTTGTAGAAGGTGCAAGCCTAATTTGGTCTACTTTTGGTCGTGTCTTTAGAACAATTTCGATAATAGTAGGCCAATATTGCAATTTTGAATTATCAGTTAGGTTGAACAAAGTAATAATCAGTACAATTTACTCATTTTCTTCTCTCTTAAAATTTTGGCAAAGAGTGTCGCTTCCCATCCACCCGCTCCGACAGTCTGCTATTTTACTGATCGGATAGCGATACAAGAATCCGTGATATTTATTTTTCTTTAATAATGCAGTGATCCAGGCAAGATGTTATGCAATCAAGTAAAAGTATCTGATCTATCTCGATCAAGTTGAGAGAATCGTAATAAATGTTCAAAGAACTAGTCGCGTTATTACTTAGCAAAACTGGGTAGTGAAATCGTACATTAAGTGTTAGCAACCGATCTAGTACAAATCCTGCGATTTTTGTTAGTGAAAAAGCGCCCCACGATCTTGGACAAAAATGGTAGAGCGGATTTTAAACGTCACTAACTCTTTTTTATGTTACATAATCGTAAAATACGCTTTAGTTCAATGGGTTTCTTTTCTGAGTGATATCGGTTATTTATTCCTTAATCCGTTGTAAATTTTTCCGATTTTAGTCTTCGAAAAAGCGCCCCACCCCCTCCCCATCTAGGAAAGCTGGAAAGCGGTTTTTCCGGTCACTGTTTCTTAAAGATATACGTTTTACAGTTACACAATCAAGGTAGAAAACAGTTAAATCAGTATGCAAAGTCTCTCAGCCGTTAAATTTCTTTACTTTGACTGTTTATAATTCAGCTGCAGCTTAAAATTAGCTTTTAATTTTTTTTTCTACCCCTTTTGGCGCCCCCCTCGGGTCGGCGCAGGGGGCGGCCGCCCTCCCCGCCCTCCCCTAGCTACGCCTCTGGATCTTTTCAGGAAAATACCCAACAACTATAATGTTCTTCTATTAAAAAGAGATCTTCAAAGTAAACTATTTCTTAATGATAAAGTTATTACAAAAAAAAAATATCTTTAAAAAAATTAACTTAATATTATCTTTAGAAGCATTTAAGAAAAATCGATAACAGAAACTAATCATTCAAATGGAATTTTAGTTTCAACAAATAGAAAGTAAAGTTCTCTTTTGCACCTGGCAGTCGACAAATCAGGTAAAGTAGAGTTTTTCTCTTTCTGTGACATCTGCACTGATGAACTCTCAAAGAGGTCTAACAAGAAATTGTTTTTAAGAATCCCAATTTATTTCTGACCTTTGCTTTCTGTAACAGCTTGTGCAGGTCCACCCCAGTCATGATGCCATGGTTGATCACATAGTCTGGAACATTCTGTAGCTTCTGCCCAGGCTCGGCGTACACTGTTCCGTGGACCTCAAGCTTAGAGTGGATCATGTCCAGGTACTGTTTCTTGCCCTGTGGTCAAGAATTTTCTGGCATTACAAGGACTGGCACACACTAGGATCTTCTTCACTTCTAACAAAGATTTATTAACTTTATGGAGGAGTTAGTGAATTTAATAAGAAAAGTATTCACTCACTTCTAGAATCAAATTATAATGAGCTGATTATTTGTGTTACAAGAAAACAATTTTTATTTTATTTTAAATATTTCATTTTTAGAAAAGAATAGCTTAATAATAAACAAAAATAAAAGAATAATAGGAATTAAAAATTTTACATTTCTAAATTTCTTAAACTTGAAACAAATAATAGTGACATAAAAATTAGATCTTTGCTGCAAATATATAGGGCTACTTATCATTTTTTAAAAATGGGAAACAAAATAAAGTTAAAATTTCTTTTAATTATAATTTCCGTTTAAATGTAGATTTGTAATTTACAGTGTATTCATTTCAGTTTACATATCACATAATGTTAAAATAATTCACTAGTTTTATTCCTAATATTAGCTAAAATTTACTTTAATAACAAAAATATTGAAAGAAAATCAAACCAAAAAAAATATTTAAAAAATAACTGATACTTACATAAGTATGTACTCAATATCTATTTTAAAACATTCTCTTTATTAACTTTCTAATAACATCTAGTATACATCTAAAAATTCTCATATATACAACTAGTTTTTGGTTAGATAACATATTTTCTAAATTCTAATTTATTTAGCAAAACAAACATTTGTCTATGACTATTCAACCACAAATTTTAAAAATACACAAAAATAATTTTCAGCTGATTTCTAAAAAGAATCTAAAATAATTAGAAAAAATACATACACTAAAAAATAAAGCTAGTACAACAAATGCACTTATAGAAAATAATATGTAACCTAGCTCTGTAATGTAGAATGAAAGTATTTATGTACTGATAACTATGAAAACATTAAAATAAGATTTATGTGTATTTTGATAGGGTCGTTATATCTTATCTGTGGCTCAAAAGTCAGTATTTAACCTGCCATAGCTAGAGTCAGTCAATGGTCAGTATTTAACTTGCTCTATCTAGGGTCAGTCACTGGTCAGTATTTAACCTGCTGTATCTAGGGTCAGTATTTAACCTGCTGTAGCTAGGGTAAGTCACAGGTCAGTATTTAACCTGCTGTAGCTAGGGTAAGTCACAGGTCAGTATTTAACCTGCTGTAGCTAGAGTCTGTAATGACCACCAAGACAAACACAAGATGTAATGAGAGTGCACCAACCTGCCACATGTAATCATTCTTGCCGTAGACCAGGGCGATGTTTTCCTTGGGTTCTGTGTTGGTCTCTGACTGGTTGAGGACACGGTCAACAACAAAACCCATGAAAGAGTTGTCAGGGGAATGTGCTGGGGAATACATAACACAGAAAACATGACAGAAAACATAACACAGAAAACATGACAGAAAACATAACACAGAAAACATGACAGAAAACATAACACAGAAAACATGACAGAAAACATAACACAGAAAACATGACAGAAAACATGACAGAAAACATATGACAGAAAACATATGACAGAAAACATGACAGAAAACATATGACAGAAAACATATGACAGAAAACATGACAGAAAACATATGACAGAAAACATGACAGAAAACATATGACAGAAAACATGACAGAAAACATATGACAGAAAACATGACAGAAAACATATGACAGAAAACATAAGACAGAAAACATATGACAGAAAACATATGACAGAAAACATGACAGAAAACATATGACAGAAAACATATGACAGAAAACATATGACAGAAAACATATGACAGAAAACATATGACAGAAAACATATGACAGAAAACCTATGACTCAATCAACACATAACATAAAACTCAACAGAGTAAGACGATGACACAGTGAAAACATGGCCGTACTGAAAAAAGATAGAACAAATATGACATTGAAAAAACATCAGCTGAATTCTGATAGCTTGTATATAATCTTCAAAGTAAATATAATAACTTAAACAGAGAAGAACTGGGTAGTTTCATTACAGGTGCCCAATCATACTTTGGCATGGCACAAGTCATGAGTAGAAATAAATAAAATTAAAATAAATACATAACATTACATAAGTAGATAAAAACTAACAAAATTATGAAACAATTAACTAGTAAAATGAAAAAATAAATGAAAAAGAACATGACAAAATTGTACTGATCTATTAATACTTACGGAACATAGTAAAAAATTGTTGAGGGATCAAATCCTGCCCACCCCACGAAGATAAAATTTTGTTTTGCTTAGCAAAAGTAAGATGGTTAAATGCAGGCTCAGTCCCAAAGGAATCAACTACTCTAAATAAACAGCTGAAAAACAGATAACATGACACTTATTTATTATGTGATTTTATATATGTACATGCTTATGTAGTTCTACATGATCAACAGAGTTAAAACTATTTTTTTTATTGAAAAGTTTTATTTTTTTTTGGTTGTTAGTTGAGTTAAACATAGAGATTTTGTCTTGACATTTTGTTTATAATCTCTTTTGCGTTTAATAAATGATCTGATACACACATTGAATAGGATGTACTGGATTTTCAAATTGTCAGACAGTTGATACCATTTTATTTTAATAACAAAAAGAGTTTTATTTCCCCTTTACAAAATTTATACAAAGAACAATTTAATTTCATTTCATATTCAACCTTTTTTTATTTTTAATAAACTAAATAAAAGTACTTTGTTTTAAATTCAAGCTCTAGAATGATATTTTGAAATTTATTTAAATTTTCTTCATTCTAAAACTTATTTTTAAATTGGTAAAGAAAATGTTATCATGAAGGTCACTGTTATATGAATGTTATCTTTCACAAATAAATTACTGTAAGAAAGCTGTACCTAAATTTGGCATATCCAGCTTTTAGTCTTTTCTTGAACTGTATAAGGCCCATGATATCAGTGTAGATTAGATGTACAGGTAGTTCCTTTCTGCTCTGGCAAGGTGTTTTTGCAGCAGGAACATGGTTAAGGATTCTGGGAAGTAAACAAACATTATCAGCTTACATTGAGCCTAAAAAAATGTCTAACAACACAAGTGTTTTATAATGATACAAATATTTTGTAGTGATGCACTTTTTTATAAGTATACAAGTATTTTACAATGATACATTTCACTTACACAACAATTAATGAGAAACATCTTGTGTACAGTACTACATTCAAAATACACTAAACAGTGAGCAATATAATCAATATAAATAAAGCAGGTGGTTAGTAGATACCATAAGTGCTAAGAATGTAGCTTAGACAAACAATTGTATTCAACCTCTTGATTTTTTATGTAAAAAGAGTTATTTTTCTTTAAATACTATTTAATTGCTGTCAATTATAATAACAGTAATTTTTGCTGCAGTTGAAGTATTACTAGCACTACAAAATTTAGTGTAGTTACTTTTTGGCATATTTTTTTTATTTATAAAGGAGTGAGTTGTTATAAATATTTAGTTAAAAATAACTCTCCATCACAAAAATAATTATATGGTCTTTAAAAAATCATGAACATGTATAAGAACATAATGAACAAGTACATGAATCAGATTGCAAACATAATGAAGCAAGTATAAGTATATAATCATAAAAGTGTTGTTTTAATACTGAACTAGTTTTCCCTTAACTAATGTTATAAAAACACAACATAAGTGGAACATGATAAACATTGGAACAAGTCCTGGAACACTTACTCAACAAGTTGCTCCACTTCACTGGTTATAGTTAGATCATGGCCCAATATATACAAGGTGGAGATCAAGTCACTCCACTGGACAAGTTCCCCTAGTGGTCCCCCTGTTTACAGTGGGAATATACAACACGATGAGTGCTTCACATTTGACACAAGTGCCAAGCATTAACACTTCAATGAAAATCTATATACTTAGATAACTGGTAGTCTAGTAATGAACTAAAATCAAAGACAATAATTTTGTTCAAGAATTAGAATTATAAAATATTGCTATTCTAATTCTTACAATGATGTGTGATATGATTATAATGCTTTAATATTTCTTTTAAAAAATAAGCTTTTTAATTTAAAACAATTGTTAGCCAGGAGTTTACACGGATAAGACAAAACCATAGAAAAAAAATAGGAAATGTTTTGGACCAGATTACTTTATTACTGCATTGTTATCACTACAAAGCACTCTTGTACTAAATAATAGATTCATATAGCTAATATTTTAAATTTTAAAAGTTAACATTATTCTAAAATACACCACAAGTCCTTTTCAGTTGCAATTTCCCCCCCTATAAACAGGTTTTTTTTTAAATAATTGTAAAAATTATTTCAGAATTTATTTCTATTGTTAAACTAATTTAAACAGTTATTATTTAACAGTCACAGCAGATGTTTCTTCAACAAAAAAAAGTTTTTAAACTAATTAAAACTGTTATTATTTTACAGTCAAAACAAAAAAGTTTTTAAACTAATTTAGACAGTTATTATTTAACAGTTTAAACTGTTTATTAGTATTTATTAGTGTTAAAAAAAGTTTTATTTTTCTTACCCTTGAATTGCATTTCAGCAAACTTCCATCCAGATTGTTTACTTAGCAACCCCAGGTGGATCAATATCTGTTATAGTAAAAATAAATTCATGACCAAATGGGAAGCAAAACAAATAATTATCCATTTTTAAAGGAAAGAAAAGAAAAGGATTGATTTTTTTAAAATTCATGAAAAACAAAAACACATAAAACAGTAGGGTATAGATTGATAGACCATATGTCTACATCTACTGAACAAAATGTTTTATTGATTTGAATTTTTATAACTTAAATATAACAAAAATACTGCTGGGATTTGTAAATATTCAAGTATGTTAATCTCATTCTATTAATAACTCAAATATATATAAGTATGTTAATCTCATTCTATTTATAACTCAAACTTATTTATAACTAATTGGTATTTGAAAAACACATTTTTAGCACTTTATGCTTAAAATAATAAGTGTCTTACTTTTTGCTTAGGTCTACCCTGTAGATCATATTTCGACATCAGGTTCCTCGCTGCGTCTGTCCACCTATGCCACATGCGCGTGATGCGCATCCTAATCCACGCATATCCTTGGCGTTCATTGGGGTCAACTAGAATGGTCATCAGGGGCTGTAGGTCTAATGTAAAGTTGGCCTGGAAATATAAAAACACAAGTATAATCATCATTAGGTTGCGTGGTCAATTGGTAGAGTGTTTGAGTTCTAACGTAAAAGTTCTAAGTTCGTTTCCAGGCTTGAATCCAGAATCTGTGATCGGTGTGATTAGCACTTTCCCTTTAAATGCTGAGGTCAGTGAAATGGGTGAACTCTACTTCATCTGCCCCATGGACCATAAGGTTCAAAAAAATGCTTTACTTTAGTATTATTATCATCAAGGACTATAACTCTAATGTTGCCTGCACATACAAGAAGCTTGTTCAGTCATAATGGGAAGTAACCCAAATGTTGGTTTGCACTAAAAAAAATGCTTTGGTACATAATATATAAACACATACCTATTACATATGAGCTATTACTCTAAACACCTTATAATGCAAACACTTACATAAGATATACTGTTATTTACAAACTTGTAGATGAGACACACTGACATACAAACACTTGTATAACATAGAAACATTTATATATGAAACTGAAACCTATAGGCATGTACATAAAGCACTTATAAACACTAACTTTTTGTAAAGGACACCACTACAGATTAACTGTTACATATAACATCATTAAACAAAAACATTTACACAAGACTCCATTCCAGACAAACATTTTGCTCAAGACAATGCTAAAGTCAAGAATACACTTGCATACTACAAAGACACTGTTACACATTAACATAAGACACATTACATAAGACACAATTATTTACTAACATTTACCTAAGACACTATTAGGGGTCATCCATAAATGAAGTCACGCTTTTTTTGACGATTTTTACCTCCCCCCTCCCCTCCGTCACACGTCCGTCACAAAAAGCCAGACGTCACATCACAGCCTACAACCCCCCTCAAAATTGCAGTTGAATTTTTTTAAAACATGGATATTTTTCCAAAATCTTGTCTGAAATATGTCCAAATAGAGTATTTTAATCAATTCCTATTATAATTTATTAAAACTGTTTTCTAAAACGCTAAATAACGTATAAAATTCCCTTACTAACATTTCTTATCTATAAAGCAAAAGTGTGACATCGCACCATCTGAACCCCCCCCCCCCTCCCACCATCTGAAACCCCCCCCCCCCTCCCCCTCATCACACATCGTCACAAAATTACCGACCCCCCAGCTCCCCCCTACGAGTGTGACTCATTTATGGATGACCCCTTACCTAATAACATATGACATTAAAAAACAACACTTACATATGATGCCATTACACATTACTACTAACATAAGACACTATTATATACTAACACTTATTTATATATGACACCATTACAAATTACCACTTACATAAGACACCATTACACATTACCACTTACATAAGACACTATTATATACTAACACTTATTTATAAATGACACCATTACAAATTACCACTGACATAAGACACCATTACACATTACCACTTACATAAGACACTATTATATACTAACACTTATTTATAAATGGCACCATTACACATTACCACTTACATAAGACACCATTACACATTACCACTTACATAAGACACTATTATATACTAACACTTATTTATATATGACACCATTACAAATTACCACTGACATAAGACACCATTACACATTACCACTTACATAAGACACTATTATATACTAACACTTATTTATAAATGACACCATTACAAATTACCACTGACATAAGACACCATTACACATTACCACTGACATAAGACACTATTATATACTAACACTTATTTATAAATGACACCATTACACATTACCACTTACATAAGACACTATTACACATTACCACTTACATAAGACACTATTATATACTAACACTTATTTATAAATGGCACCATTACACATTACCACTTACATAAGACACTATTATGTAATAACACTTATTTATAAATGACACCATTACAAATTACCACTTACATAAGACACCATTACACATTACCACTTACATAAGACACTCTGGTATCTACAAAAGTCTTATTTTGAGAGCCTGACCAAGCTTGTCTTGGACAGAAATCTTCTACCTGAAGACAAAAAAAATGTATCAATAAGACTTAAAAGAAAACCTACAACAAACATGTAACATAACTGACACTACATTGATGTTTAAAAACAGATGGAACAATGAACAACTTTTTAAGGATATATGAACATCTTTAGCCAACACATTGTTTAAACAATCCACTATCCATGAAACTATATTTTTAAAAAGATATTTTTTCAAAGCGAATATTAATGAATATTAAATCTTTTTTTCTAGCACACATTTTTATCTTGAATTTTTATTATCAGCTAAAACATTTTTTAGATTGTCTCCCCTAAGCTAAATGATAGCCTCTAAGGTAATCTCCCTTTAATAAAAATAAACCTAGCGAGCTTACCTCACTTAAATACATTATAATTGAACAGTCTGATCCATCCACACCGTAACCTTGGTAACAAGGATCTGATTTCCACATTTTCTGCATCCACTGAAAATTAATTGTAAGAAGGATATGTATGTTTTCTATCTTCATTTTAGCTGTTTTACTATATTTGTTAATAATAAAGTAACAATGAATTTATTCCTTTAATTATAACATTTTGTATAGTATTTATACATTCTGTAACAAAAGATCGAACTGTTTACTATAAGACTGTGTTACTAATGTTCTTTACATAAAGAAGGTAACAAGAGATTCATTTCTGTGATTGTGTGGTCAAATGGTAGATAGTAAGCGTGTAACACTGAAGTCTTGAGTTCAATACCATAACAAGATCTAATTTTCAGTTATCACTGTAAGACACAACTCACTGTACCACAGTATAATACACATAAGTTTCTAATGTTGCCACCAACACTGTATCTCAGTGGTTCTTAACCTTTTTAGAGGTACCCCGGCGGTTTAATATGCGCATTCACCTTCTCAAAAGTTTTATCATTCACACTGACAAAATCCTATCATAAATCATATGAGTCGGGTATGTGTCTTGATCTCTGCTAAACCCCTGAGACTGGCTCACCAAATCCATGGGGTTCGATTTAACCCAGATAAAGAACCACTGGTCTTAGGCAATGCTTACCTCAATCTTTTGAGGACAATGGGGATAATGTACTTTGTCTTCATCAGACAGCTCACACTTCTCAGACTTCCCTTGCAGCAGATCTAAACAAAAGTTGACGACAACATTTTTAAACCATAAAGTATATTTTTTTTTATAATCCTAACAATTGGCACACTTCTCAGACTTCCCTTGCAGCAGATCTAAACAAAAGTTGATGACAACATTTTTAAACCATCAGATCTAAACAAAAGTTGACGACAACATTTTTAAACCATAAAGTGATTTTTTTTTAAAAATCCTAAAAATTAGCACCGTCAATTTCTCCATTTACATAATTTAGAAATGCTTCAAGTTTATCTTTGTTATTTAACTACTCCAATTATCTCTGTTTAATAATAATGCATTGAATCATACTGTTAAGCTAATTACAGATTATGAAAATATTTCCAGTGAAGAGCTACATAAAAAAGTAACATTAACTCAATGCTGGATATTTTTGTTTAATTTTTTGGGTAAGGTTTAAGGCTAGCCTAGATTTAAATAAACATCACAAGTTACATTAAAAGTTTTAAACTGACTGCTCTTTTACTGTTAGAGGCTATACAGTCAAGTGTTACTACAATAGGGCTGGTAAGTAGGTCACCAACCAGTTCTATGGCTCATGCAAGTTTTTATGGAGCTGTAGAACTGGTTGGTGACCTACTTACCAGCCCTATTACACAAACTGTTTTCTGACAACAAAGAGCTAGGGGGAGACAATCCTAACCTTGTGCAGACAAGGCTGGGCCTTTCTTGGCATCCCAGATGGGAGGGAACTGGGCACTGAGGGTGGAGTTGTCATTGAACAAGGAACCATTTGTGACATTGTTGACAAAATACTCTAAGCGGTTTATCCTGGCTAACATAGACTCCAACAACACAGCTATAGTTTTCTTCAGATCTGTGGGCAAATTCAATTATAAAAAACATGTAAAGCATTTAAACATGAAAGAGTGAATCTTCTTCTTTGTCCGTAATTGTAATGTTGGACGGGATTTCCTCCAACAGAATTAAGTATTATTGACAATTTGTTATGCGGCATATAGGGCATTGCCTCTGATTTCGACCTGCTTTTCTTTTTTCGTTTTGGATTAGCTTCCAAAGCTTTTGTCTAACTAAGAACAAACTACAAGGCAGCAGTTGTTTGATTTTAGAGTTTTCTCCCCAGGATAGATTGCTGTCCCCAGCTATTTAGTCTCATATGGCCAAAAAGGGTGAATGAAAATTATAAGAATAAATCAAGAAATATAACGTAACAGGTATACAGTATTTTTATTCTACTACAATGCTGACATGCTGACCAGAGTAATCTTCAGGCTAGAAACATGTTACAACAGGATGAGGTACACATGACCTAGAAGTTGAGAGTGGCCATTGGAACATGCCCTTGTGGTATGATCCTGAACATACAGCGTATGGGCTGCAAGACATATTTAGCACCACATAAACTTCACCAAATACAAATTGAATAGGAGTACAAGAAATAAGTGGCTGAGTGTGTCTACTAAGTTGTATGTTTTTTAAATGTTATATTTATGAATAAAGAATATGAAAAAAATAATTTTTTTAAATGTCTGTTTTAAATTTCAGTTGTAGTAAAAAGATGTCTTTGTAACAAAGTGTAATCTACATACTAGAAACAGGCTACAATAGGATGATGCACACATGTTTTACAAGATGAAAGATGGAGTTCCCAACACATGTCCTTTTGATAAGGTCCCCAGAAAACACAGAACATGTTCTACAAGAATGCACCACCAGACAGTCTAGAATCTGAGAAAAATTTACAGGAGGTGAGTTAGTGCTTGCTGAGTTCCAGACTACTGTGTAGTTTGTCTACAGAGTTCATCTTGCATGATCCTCTAAATGACACATTTAAGAAGAAAGAATAAGATATATATTTTTTATTGCCAGTTTTATATTTCAGTTAAGGTGATAGAGTGCTTTGTTTATAATAAGTGTTATGTGTTTACTCTCAGGTGAAAACTTTAATCTGTTTACAACTTTGGATTCTGTGTGTACTAACAGACACAGGGAACATTCACCTGTTGGTTAAACACAGATGGCGCCACTGAACAACCTGGAACAATGTGGCGTCTTCATGGCAACCAGGTGTGGCATGAAAGCAGAGGTTACCTTTCAGTGTGTAACAGTTTTTACAAGAGGAAACAAAAAATGATTGATGCAATGATAAACAGCACCTCCACACCTTCAATTCAATTCAATTTGTTAATTCAATTTATTCAATAACGGTAACTGCTTTATATAAACATAAATCATAAGACTTTATAATGCTATAATCAATAGATTTTGCAAGTTACATTTGAATAATTACTGATTATTGATCCCAAAAAATGATGTTTGCAAAAAAAATTAAGATATGCAACATAAAAGATACATTTTTCTTGTCTATGAAATAGTATTTTTTTAACAAAACTATCAAAATATACAGAATTAAAATGCTTTACCAACACCTGTACTTCTTAATTTATTAGTTATCTTTTACTACAAGCTGTAAACATTCTAAAATTAAGAATTGTATCAAGAGTTAATAACCAAAATCTGTAAATATTCTTAAATTAAGAAACATCCTTTTATCAAGAAGTTACTAACCAAAAGCTGTAAGCATTCTTAAATTAAGAAACATCTTTTTATCAAGTGTTACTAACCGAAAGCTGTAAACATTCTAAAATTAAGAAACATCCTTTTATCAAGAGTTTTTAACCAAAAACTGTAAACATTCTAAAAATAATAAACAGAATTGTATCAAGAGTTACTAACCAAAAGCTGTAAACCTTCCAGCATAAGGCCCATCCACAATGTTCCCATTTTCCTTGGCTAAAGCTTTAATGTATTCCTCACTCAGCTGTACAATCTCTGCCTAAAACACAGAACAATACCTAATTAAACCTTATTATTCTAACACACATATTATAGCAAACAAATTTACCCCAGTCTTCAAAATTAATGTTTTCTTCTTCTTCGTTCTTAATTTTTAGTGTTGGAAGGAATTGAGCTTTATCTGCCAGAGGGTTTGAACTCGAGACTTTTTCAAAATTAACAACCATGCGCTTTTTGCCGACTCGACCACGCCTCCATCACAATTAATCGTTACGTGTCAACTGGTTATGCGCCATATATGGCCGTTGACTCCAATTTCAGCCTGCTTTTCTTTTCGATTTGCTTCCATAGCATTTGTCCAACCAAGAACAAACTACAAGGCAGTAGTTGTTTGATTTTGGAGTTGTATCTCCTAGACAAGTGGCTCATCCCTCTGAGGGTTTGAACTCGAGACTTTTCAGTTTAGCAACCCTGATCCTTAACAACTCGCCTATGCCGACCCCAAAATTAATGTTTATAAGCCAGAATTTAAAAACTGTAAACCAGCATCTCTGACTATATAAAATCTGAACCATTTATAACAGTCTGATTATGTTTATTTAAATATAAATTAAGTTATATGTTAATAAAAATTGTATGTTGTTAATCTTTTTATTATTTGATTTTGTTTGAACTGTATATAATACAGATCTAATAGCCAGAATTATTTTTCCGTTTTCTCTAAACACAAACCAAAATGTTACAAAAGTTAACTCAATTCAAATGTTAATTTAAAAATCGATTTTTTTTAAAAAATGCTTTTATAATTTGATGTAGTATCTTTGTCTTCTAATTACAACCTTAATTGGAAATGTCATTTGTCACAATTATTCTTATTAGGGTTAATAAAGTTTGTTTTCCATTCTGCAAGTTTTTAAAATAGGCCAACATTTTTTATACATTTTAAAATTAATTATATTTAAAACTAAAAGACAAAGACCATTCAAAAATCCATTACTATTATTATTTATTAATAAATCTGGAGCTTTGTTTAATTACAGCCCTTTAAAATCTCCAAGAATGAAGAATAAAATAGGACATGGGACAATACCACTTTGAGCCGCTCTACGCATTGATTCTGCTATTGTGTTATTGACTGCGCAGAAAATCCGTTTCTTGTGATGTCTAGACAGCTTAATTGAAATAATTGTTCTAGACGATGAACGATGAGGGGGCGAGTTAGGACGCACCAATATGTCTGTTCGGATTCTCCCACTAATGCCAGACATTTTCTTGGCCAGATTTTTTAACATCTCCGATTCATCGTTCTTTTTTTTTTTTTTTAGTGTGGAAATGTTTTGAGTGTTGAGGTCTAGTGGACAAGTGAACAATGTCAGAAAAGACAAGAAAATTAGGAAATTGCCGTTGTTTTCTTGACTGTCATGATTAAATTGTTTTCATCCGTATTTGTCTCCCCTACTTGAAATACTGGTTGGTCCAGCTCAACAAATATTTCACTTGTCAAAGCACTACAGCTAGCTTTTTGTTATATATATATATATATATATATATATATATATATATATATATATATATATATATATATATATTATATATATATATATATATAATATATATATATGTGTGTGTGTGTGTGTGTATGTATGTATGTATGTATGTATGTATGTATATATATATAGCCTATATATAGCCTATATATATATATATATATATATATATATATATATATATATATATATATATATATATATATATAGGCCTATATATAATGTGCTTTCGTTACACGTAAATGTGAAGGGGGGGGGCGTGATGCCATGTTTTCGTAAAAGAGAACACGGTACCAAAAAGTTTGAAAACAGCTGTGTGTGTGTGTGTGTGTGTGTGTGTGTGTGTGTGTGTAAAGACACTTGTGTTTATAATAATGATGTAATTAACTGTTCTCAGATGGGTTGTTTTTTTTAAGGCGCTACAAATTAACTACACCGGTGATTCGATGAATTTCAAATAACTCAAGTTAGTCAAACGATCTATTTATGTTGAGGCGTGGCCTAACTTTCCATGTGTTCTTCAAAGATTAAATTAAAATTACACACGTGCCTATCCATGTCGCGAGCGATGTGTCCGCCCAAATGTTTCTGAACGTACAGAGAAGAGAATTAACGATTGCGACATCCCCTCAGCCATTGTTCCATTACTGACTCACGCCGACTGTATACATTTTTAAACACGGTTCTTTTATCTCCCTTTCTTCAAACAAACATGATCATTTTACGCTGACTTGAAAAAATCGTGAATTTTACATTTGAACTTTTTATTTATTTATTTTTCCTTTTAAACATTTTTTTTCTTGTATGTGTTTAAAATTCAAAGCCGAAGCGGGGAATAGCTTCGTGCGTAAGCTTTAGTAATACTTTAACTTTCATGTAACAATTTGCTGCTCTCCTGTGCTGAAGATCACCTTACAATGTTGAGTGAGAGCAGATCACATGACCGAGGTGTAAAGTGAACATTAGGCCTACCATCTGCTGCCAACGACAGAGAAACACGTGTACCAGACATCCAAAACAGATGGGGGGAGGGAAGAAGAGGGGAGGGTATATGAGAGGAAAGGGGGAGGTGTAGGGGGAAAAAGGAGATACAGCAATATATTATGCTATGTATTTAAATTACGGAAACCTATGTCGGTACCCTAACATTAGAGCTCACTGCCTAAACCATAGCAATATAGTGAATCTAACAATAACATACACATTGTACGGGAAAAAAACTATCAGCATATAATATCATTTAAAGATATATTGACCAAGGAATATGGGGGAAGGGGGGGGGGCGTGGCATTGATTAACTTCCAGGAAATAACTTCCGGACAATGGTAAAAGTATTTATTTTCTGTTTAAATATGTATTTTTTTTCATTACGTCTAAGGAAGAGGAGGGGGGAAAGGGTGGGGGGGCTGGGTGGTGAGTGTAGTGAACGTGTTTCAAAGGATACAGTGCCCCTTCCCCCCCCCCCTTGCAGATATGCCTGAAAAACAAATCGATTCTTAAACTAATACATTTTCTTCTTCTTTTTCTTCTTCGTTCTTAATTCCAGTGTTGGAAGGGATCTACTCCAACACAATTAAGTTTACGTGTCAACTGGTTATGAGCAATTGAAGCTATTGACTCCGATTTCAGCCTGCTTTTCTTTTTGGATTTACTTCCATAGCCTTTGTCCAACCAAGAACAAACTATAAGGCAGCAATTGTTTCATTTTGGAGTTGTCTCTCCTAGAAGAGTTGCTGTCCCCAGCTAACCAGCCAGATAAATTTTCTAATTTTATTTCTAGTTCATGTTAGCATGACTTAACTAACGATTTTTTTAGTTTAAATACTCACTCAAACCTTGTTCTAAACCTTGCCGTAATCATAATTATGAGCCTGACCTAAAGATCGTATTCCAAGCCTTCACACTTACACTAAAAATGACATGAACGAAACAGATAGGCGGGGGGGGGGGGGGGAGGGCTTAAAATTATACTGGGCTGACTGTCCCAAAATATTTGTTTAGTAACAAAAGGTCAGAATTTCCGTAATAATCGCTTCAATCCTAGTTCGGCTTCGATTCTAACCTATCAGCATAATGATGATAATCGGCTACCTATGATTTTGTAAAATCGAAATGGACAAATTGTAATTTGAAACTAGGCTGCTCGTAGCTACGAAAAAAGCCAAATTATCACAACGTAATTATATATATATATATATATATATATATATATATATATATATATATATATATATATATATATATATATATATATATATAATTTGTTGCCTCGAGATAATTTTATAAATAACTATGTATCCTAGTTTTTATATTTTTTTACTGGAAATCGATAAATTAGGCAGAGATGGCTGTATTGTGTTTTTTGGTGTTTTAATTTTTTGAAACAAAACTTGTCATCTATTTTCTGTGTCTATTCTTGTTAATCTTAACAAATGGGGAAAAAAAAACTTCAATGCTCATCTTTTTTAAACAAGAGTAATTAGTGCAACGTGACACTAATTAACACGCCGTTAGTTATCAGAAGTTGTTGGGGGCGGAGCAGGGCGGAGCAGGGTGGAGACGACGACCAAGACGAAGACGACACCAAAACAAACACAACTGACCTTGACCTCGTGACTGCTACGTGTCTGGCTCTGGTTGAACACCAGCGAGATGTTGACAAACGTGAACGACCACAACACGCCCAGCACCGCCAGCAGAACCAGAAACCGACGCACCATCGGTATGCGCAGCATTCGTGGCGGCCATTTTGACGCCGAGTTCCTCACCATGGCAACGACGCTTCCTTCAATTTAAACTTTCCACACATCTGTGAAAGAAAAAAAAACGAAAACGAAATAATATTATGTTCAACATTTCATGCAGACAAAACTGTATTGAAGCCTACGGTTGATTAATTTTAAACATTGATTATCATTACAGTTTAATTATATTATATAATAATTAATAGTAATAATTTCACCGTTCTTCTTTTTTGCCGTTTTCGAGGTGTGTAATGGAAAACAAAAAATTATTTTATATTTAATTAAAATTGTATTATTTTTTTCTTTTTAGTGCATTTATAAAAGCGTGTAATATTATAAACGTTTTTATGTATTTATTATTTACCGTTTTCGAAGTGTGCAATGGAAAACATAAACCATACACTAGGAAACTTTACAAGTATTATTTTCCTAAGCCTGCTTATAATTCAATAGCTCTAAACTTCTTACACCCCTCCCCTACCACCCCATACCCTCCTCCACCGTTTCCATACTGGCTTACAGGCTTACCATATGCTTTGTTTGTTGTTGTTTTTTACACTGTTGATAACTTGCACCTGGCAAGGTGTTTGCGGTGCAAATCGAATCCTACCACAACAACATAAAGATTTCTTAACACTTGAATTGTAAGTTTGTAAATGTTCATTTTCTAAGTAGGTCTACACACAGATTTATTGTTATAACCCCATAAAACAGTTTTAGAAAAAGTGTGCTGAGTCAGAAGAGGCAAATCAAAATTATCTAAACCTACAATTGTAATGTTTCGTTAATGTTGACATTTGAACGAATTTTATACACACGCACTCTGTAAACGGTGAAAGAAGAAAGGGGTGACGTGAAGCGATAAGCGCAGTCGAGTGAAGCGATGCATCAAAGACCAGGAATTAACTACACTGTGTGGTACAAATAGTATACAGAACTGGCTAAGGAATATTAGACTTTATCCAGAGCATATTAAATAGTATACAGAACTGGTTAAGGAATATTAGACTTTATCCAGAGCATATTAAATAGTATACAGAACTGGCTAAGGCAGGGGTCGGCAACCTGCGGCTCGCGAGCCGCATGCGGCTCTTTTGATATCAAGATGCGGCTCTCAAGCTCCTTACGCAAATACTAATAATCTTAATAAAAAAATAAAATATTTGAACTTAAAAAATTTTAGTGGCTCTTTAAAACCAGGGAAATTTTGAAAATTGTAACTTTTGGCTCTTCTGCTTCAAAAGGTTGCCGACCCCTGGGCTAAGGAATATTAGACTTTATCCAGAGCATATTAAATAGTATACAAAACTGGTTAAGGAATATTAGACTTTATCCAGAGCATATTAAATAGTATACAGAACTGGTTAAGGAATATTAGACTTTATCCAGAGCATATTAAATAGTATACAGAACTGGTTAAGGAATATTAGACTTTATCCAGAGCATATTAAATAGTATACAAAACTGGCTAAGGAATATTAGACTTTATCCAGAGCATATTAAAACACATATCAGTCTTGATATAGAACTGACTAAGTCATAACACGCATAATTATAAGAAAACAAAAAGCACTAATCAGCTCGTGATTCAAACAAATAGAAACTAAACACTGCTAATAACCAGCTGCTTTGTTTATTTTCAGAAATAATTAAAGGAACACCTTATGTTAATATTCGCATTTCCATTATGCCATTTTGTAAACGTGTATGTATAGCTACCATAAGTACAGATATAGCGTGTTGAATAAGAAGAAAAAGTCTATAACGAAAGATAAATCGTGCAATTGATCGCAATAAAACCTAATCCACCAAAGCGTAATAATTATTGACCCCAGTTGCTGTTCAAATGTCGGCCGATTCACGTTAAGCTTGGCCAATACATTGCGCTCAGATTTGATGCGGGCATTATAGCGAGGGTCAGTTTATCGAGTGGTTTGACAATACCCCTCGTTAGACCCCAGACTCGCTCATCCCCACTCTCACAATCACACACATACACACATAAATACACATACAGACACCAGAAAATACAGGTAGACAAAACACATTAACACCGAAACAGATACAAGAAATGTATACACCCAAACAAATACACATTTATTACACACAATTAAATATACCACACACAACACACATAAACATCCAAATACACAGAAAAACGTACAAACAGAAATACACGCAATACACAGTGATGCACACACACACACACACACACACATACACAAACACAAAGTGAATCTCTTTTCATAAAGCTCCATAAGACTAAGACTGATTCGCCCATCTCAAATTCCACACTCAAAACCCACATCACCAAACAACATCTTATAATTATTATCAGATCCAATATCCACATTTGATAAGTTAATCCATTGAATTAAAATAAAACACAAAGTTAAAAAAAACGGCAATATAAAAACCTGTTTCGACAGATTAATCTAATAAAACAGGATGTTTGCAGTTTATAAACATAAAAACAGAATTTGACATTAAATCTTTACTACTACGATTTCAACTCGGTAATTATTTTTTAATTAATAATTTCTACAACCTCAAAATTAACACTGTGGTTTCATAATAATGTGTTTTATTATTACGTGTGCGGTCATTGTACTACTGTGTACTTCGTTTTTTGACAACTGTTAATATGGCTGGAAGGTTAGCCGGCATATTTCATTAAGTGATGATTGAATAGCTGTCAACAGCTAAATTATCTTTAAACATAAAATATGTTGCGCGTGTTGAGGCAGATTCGTTATTTAAAAACATTATTACCGAATAACCGCATTACTTTATAGATGTATCGCTGAGGGAATATTTATAAATGATGTTGCAGTAATTAAAGAATTTTACTACACGTTATATATCGTCACATAAATGCCGAAAATTATACCCCCAAAGTAATATAATTTATAAATGGATTTAGCTTAGTGTCAATAAAAAATACAGTTAAACTTAGATCGTGTATTTGTTTATATATATATATATATATATATATATATATATATATATATATATATATATATATATATATATATATATATATATATATATATATATATATACATATATATATACATATATATACATATATACACTAATCTTGATGGATGTATGAAGTGTGTTGTCTGATTGCATGTTTTCAAAAAGGTTGTTAACACGACGTTCGCAGTGTCAAAATTCAGTGGACAAAATGACCTTTGAACTCGCCAAACACAGCTTACCCCGCCCGGTAGCGGATGTCTAATGTAGCAACCAATAAAAGATGTTCAATGCCAGACCACGTGGTGTGACGCGCACCTAACAGCGGAAGTCGATGCAATGCGCATGCGTATGCCAGCGTGAGCATCAAGCCCAAAGTTCAGATGGCACGTTCACACTTGTGACCGTTGAATTATTCACGTGACCTTCTCCGCGCGCATGCGATATGGCGCTGTGTGACGCGGACACAGTGGCGACAACGTGCAGAGAGCAAAACGGGAATGGGAATAGCAAAGTGGTATGTGTATGCTGGGGTGAATGCATGTGTATGGGTGTGTAGGGTAGATGAAGTAGAGTCCGGATACTTCAATGACCCTGCCAAACAATGTGCTTACTTATATGTATGCCCTAATATTTATAATACGAGTGAGGTACCCATTTTATATGTGTGCCCTTATATTTATTGTTTCCTTAATACGATTAAGGTACCCATTGTCTTCTTCTTCTTCGTTCTTAATTATTAGTGTTGAAGGGGATCGAGATTTATCTGCCAGTGGGTTTGAACTCGAGACTTTGTTCGAATTTATCAACCATGAGCTTTTTTGCCGACTCGACCACGCCTCCAACACAATTAAGCGTTACGTGTCAACTGTTTATGCGCCATTGAGGCCATTGACTCCGATTTCAGCCTGCTTTTCTTTTTGGATTTTTGCTTCCATAGCCTTTGTCCAACCAAGAACAACTACAAGGCAGCAGTTGTTTAATTTTGAAGTTGTCTCTCCTAGAAGAGTGGCTGTCCCCAGCTAACGAGCCTCATCTGCCCGAGGGTTCGAACTCGAGACTTTTCGGTTTAGCAACCATGAGCTTTACCGACTCGACCACGCCGACCCCTGTACCCATTGTATATGTATGCTTTCATATTTATTGTTTCCCTAATACGATTAAGGTACCCATTTTATATGTATGTCCTTATATTTATTGTTTCCCTAATACGAGTAAAGTGCCCACTTATATGTATGCCCTTATATTTGTTGTTTCCCTAATACAAGTAAGTTACCCATTTTATATGTATGCCCTTAAATTTATTGTTTCCCTAATACGAGTAAAAGTACCCATTTAACCTGGACTGGCTCAGGGATGTTCTTCGGCGTTGTCCGGGATCTGAACTCGTAACTTTCGGGTTAGTAGTCGTGTGCTCTACCTCCCGATTACGCCGTTCCATATATGTATGCGTTTAGATGCATACTTGAAAGGTGAGATGAGTTTATGCATGTTATGTTCAGGTGTGTACGTATATTGTGAGTTCGTGTGTAATCAGATGGGTGTGTGATATATGTAAAGGAATTAAGTATGTGTACGTGGGTATAGGTTATAAATGCAATGTGAAGGCTTATAATTACACGACGACTGGAAATATACAGCTATCAGTATGGCTATTGTCCAAGAGAATTTATTGTTGAAAATCCTTCACATAAATATAGCAATTCATATCGCTGTCGACTCTACACACTGCTTATACAATGGACTTATACAGAACACAAACGTAATTTGAAACTTCTTTCTTTGTTGTGCAAAATATATGATGTCAAAAACATTTTACTGAACGTATATCGGAGACAGTTGTCAACTGACATTAAAAGAAACACAGACCGTTTTAGCGACACAGACTTATAGCCGATATAAATAATTCATCCAAGCTTTGTCAGGGGTTGAGTATATGAATCTATCGGCTTATTCCGTACCTCTTGAGACTGGGATAAACTAATAAACATAAGGGAGAGATAATCATAGATAATCGCGGGGGTGGGTTGATGGAGAGTGGCTTAGTGATATAACATACATGGATTAGGGATATAACATACATGGA